TCCCTATAACAAAAAACTTGTTGTCGGCAAGTACACTTAATTTGGCGGACACAGGGCTTGGGTATAGCTGTCAAGGGTGAAGCACGAGGGCTTCTGTAGAACATGCGGGACCTGCCAGGCTGGGTGGGTAGAGGGTCCCCGCCAACACCTGGATGGGGTTGACCGGTCCACCACGGTGGCAGGCCAGTCAACCGCTGGGGTGTGTGGAGGGGTGGTGGTGATCCCGTCCAACTTGTTGGTGGTAGACCTCACCTGGCCGGTTACAACCCGTCAATATTTCGAACGTGAAGTGCTGATAATTATGTACTTTATATTTTCGTGAAGAGTTTAAGTTAAAAAGCTGCCGGCCATCTATTACAGCATACACCATAATAACGTTTTTGTAGTCTTCGTTGCTTTTGTCATTTAAATTCATGCCTCCTGATCGTGAAATTTGTGTGTACTATTTACTAAAAGGTCAGTAAATCCAAAAAGACTAGATATTGATCAGTTTGCTTATTTTGTCGGGTTATTAATTAATTTACACAAAATAAGTTATGGTATCCGCAGCAATGACGGACGACAGAGGCGGCAAGGCCACGGCAAGACCAGTTGTCAAGAGGGAGGGAAAAAGTGGATGGTTCACTTATTTATCCATAAGATTCTTGGCGGTTCGCGCTCTTGCCCGTTTTCTGTGGTGCTTGTGGTGGGTAAACTATTGGAATGTTGGCCGCCTGGCGCTCACCTGCCACCAGTCCCTCTTCCCACACTCTGTCACACCTATAGCCGAGAGGTGATGAGAAACACCTATTGAAAAGAGGAGCCCAGGTAACTGGCTCTTCACTTGTACTGCTACCACAGCCCTGTGCTTATTGCTTATTAAATTGAATGGAAATCAACGCGGAACAGGAATTCTATTACATTATCTTTTGTTAGTAATGTTACCAATAAATATAAGTTATTAATAGCGGTATATACTGTTCTCGTGGGAGCGGTATACTGGGTATACTGGAAGCAGAGAAGTAAAAGCTGTTGTAAGTTTGTTGACCCTTAAGTCCTCCATTTCCAGGAGCAGGAGCAAGCACAAGTCGTATTAAGTCTTAATTGTTGCTAATTGTGCTCTGACCTCCTTAACACGAAAGGAAACTAAATGTGTTTTTTGCTCTTGAGTTTAGGAAAGATAATTTGTAATGTTGCAGTATTTCCAGGAACTTACTTGTTGATGATAATATTTTAGATTATTCAGTTTCTCGGTACAAGTTTTGCTATAGTCAGGGAAGAAACGGCTCGGCCTTATAAACACTACATAAGTTATCTCTCACTTTCACCTCCCCCTCTTCCTCCGGCTCACTTCTCTCCTTCCTGCTCTTACCCGTCCCTCGCTTGCCTTAAACTCTCACCTTTCCCTCCTAATCCCAGTTCTTCATCATGCCCGCCGCTCTCCCTCTCCAAATAAAACACGGGGATACGTGAAGTAATTAGAGCAATGGATTATCCATCTGAATGTTGTTCAGATGTTTCAGACAGCGCCTCCAGTTACATACATCTCGTTAGTTGTCAAATGGGAATTGTACGAGCGCCTACAGGTTGTGGTACTGTCAGTCGCCGCGTGGGGGCCGCGGACAACAACGCTCCTCACTGATCAGGTGGTCACCCAGGAAGCCTGGCCCGAGGCTGGGTTGCCAGAGTAGAGAAACTCTGGAAAGTGGTCACAGCTAGACACTGAACAACAACAAACAGATGTTTGTTGATGTTCAGTGATGCCAACAAAGTCTTCCACTGGACAATCGAAAATATCATGGCTTTCAAGTATTCCAGCTACTGAGATGAAACAAAAATTGAACTATGCAGAATACAAGACGTAATCAAGTTTTCCTCGTACATCGGAAACCAGAAGTAAGGGATCTAGGAATGATGACGTTGGATGACCAGACGTTTTGTCGGCCAGGAAAATGATAGGGTAGATTATGAAGGCCTTCAAATAAAGGGACGCCGCCACGATGCTCCTATGTTTCAAATCACTTGTGGTATTCCATCTACATTACAGCTCGATACTATTCATTCAAATTAGGAGACCTGCAAGAGAAGGAATGTAGGAAACATTCACTGCACGTTCATGTGTGTGTGTGTATATAGCAAAGATTTCAAAAGGCACAAAATAGAAAAATGACCATCAGAAGCCCAAGGCTTTTTCAACTTCCTCCTACCAAACGAAAAAATATTGCCCGAGCAAAGGTTGTCGAGCAACACCCTTACCAATCAGGTTATCATCAGACAAACCTAGCCTCAGGCCAGACATGGAGGAAAGAACAATTCTCGAAATCGACTGCAGGTAAATCCACGTCAAGGACCTCCCTCTGCTCCTATGGTAAGCGAATGGCCATCATGCGTCCTGGTGGCCATCATGCGTCCTGGTGGCCAACACACGGAGGCGACCATGTATGTAATACTAATTTAAATTCCAGTAACGGGCGAGCCGCGTGCGGTGGTGGCTGTACTGTCCAATGTGGTACAGAAGGTCTTCCTGTCCACCACCGTCTTCCTCAACATGCCGCGGTTTGCCATTATTTTAGATTTCACATTGTTTTAATTTAATATGATTTGCTGGACAAAAAACGTCTCGTGTGTGATGTTCTTTTGAATGTAATGGTAGGTTGGTCTCGGTTAATGTAGTAGGCCAGTAGTAGGATAATTTTTCAGATGGGTACTTGAAAAAGGTCTTTGATGAAAACTTGCTCAATATTCAAATAATCGTGCGAATTATGGCTGTAATTCTATCCAGGAATTATATACTGAATAATTAGTGCTGTGGAAGAATTTTGTTTGTGTTTACCGCCACATTCAACTCGCTCACGTCAGTCTGACTCGCCTGTTAAGTTGACTTACTCCCACACTTAGTGTGGTTGCTACTAGTGAAGGGTGGTTGTCTACACAGTGGGTGTAGGTGTTCTCAAGTAAGTTAAACACAAAGTGTGAGCAAGTGTTACTAAGGGATGTAGCAACGCTCCACATAGAAAACGGTTCTCACGGGAGACTATGTTCTCCGGAAGGCAATTTTCCGCGGGTCGCCTATTGCCAGATCTAATGGTTGCGTGCTTGCGGTATTTTATTATTTAACCCAATCCGGGGGATAGACGAGGGATTAGATTTTGTGGTAAAAATGTGCATTGTAGATGGTGTGCGTGTATGGAGGAGTGAGGGGGGAGGGGTGCAGGTGGTTGAGGTAGTGTAACGGTGGCGTGTTAAACCACGTGCCAGGTGATAATATCCAAGAGGATGGGGTGGGGTGGGGGGGTTGTGGTGGTGACGTTGCTGCCTTCCAACTCCACTCGTGGTTTTTGGTGGCACTGATGTGGCAGTCCTCTACCTGTGGCAGGTTGCCACAGGTAGAGGAGTGAACACAGACCAGCATCGCGCCAATGCGCGCGCGCGCACACACACTACAACTCTTCTCTCTTCACCCCCCGACCTTCCCCCCCCCCCACATTCCCGCTTCATGGAGGGTCACCCAGCTCTTCCTCCCCATGTGGCGCCGTCTGTTCGGTGTGATTTACTGGGTGGTAGCGCGTCCACTGCTTGCTGGACGTCAGGCACCAGCCCGGCAAGTTGCCGTTCTCGCTCGTTAATGCTTTAATGCAGCTCTGATGGAGCGACAGTTGCCGCGTGTTTTTGCGTTGAATATTGTGTGTGAATCAGCGCGGGAGAAGCCGTAGGTAACGACAAGAGAAAGTGGTGATAATGGGCAGTGGTGGGAGACGCGGAGGAGCCTCATTGATCAGGCCGTTGCCATAGCGACGCCCACCCTCCCAGCCTCCCCCCAGGCCGGCCGCCCTCCCTGCCCTCGCCGCCCTCCACGCTCCTAGCGGCAGCGCCACGCACCAACACACTCCCACACTTACCAAACCTCTACTTACTCGCTGCCACACCTGATGATTACTGATAAGCTGGGCACGTCGAGGTGTGGTGGTCGTTAGTGTGAAGAAAGCGGCGGGACGGGAGTGTTGCGCAAGCCAGCGGTTGTGGTGAATGTGGTAGTGGTGTTGATGCTGGTGGTGAGGAGTCTCTAGTGCTCATGTTGTACAGTACTCGCCGCGCCACCTGGCAATGTGCGGGAGAGAGACGAGTGACAGCTGTGTGCGCTGCTCCTCCTACCACCACTGTGACATGTACAGTGAGGGCTGCCCCGCCTCACACTATCTGTACGGGTGCTGTAGCTGGCGGCTGGTGGGAGTGTGCTCGGCGGTGTAAGGCAGGCGGGAGTGATGCGCATGTACCAGGGCCCACTCCCGGCGCCAGGGGGCCTGCCCCTGGCTCCTGCCCCTGCTGCCCGCCGCACCAAGGCCTCTCCTCACCTGCCCCCTACCCTGCGTGCCCATCACCACCACCATCATCACCGTCCAGCCTCCCACACTGCTGCCTTTCCTGTTCCCTCACTACCACACCCATCATGCACCCATCACCACCATCACAACAACCACCACTACCACAGGACTGGCCATGGCCACAACCACCACCACCACCACCATAGTTCCAATAACCCCCAAGGTAGGCATCTGCCCCCCCCCCCCTCCTCTGATAGCTCATTAGTCTAATGTTTACATGTTAATTTCCAATGATGTTTTTGAGTGCAACTCAAATAATAAATAATGGCATTTAGGTCTACATGAAAATAGTGTTAATGTTGGTTGGCCATTCGCCTCAAGGTTCTGATTTTTGTAATAAACAGATAAAAACTGTAATTATCTTGGTAATTATGCTATGATTTGGTACAACTTTATGGAGAAAAACAATTATAATATGGCTACTGTATATACAGTAATCCTGTAAGATAAAGGAAATACAGTAGCAAATTTTGTACAGTATAGGATGTTTTTAACGTGTATTAAATGTATTTAACATTGTATTTAATATTTAACATAAATGTATTTAACATTGGTCGTATTATATTTAATTACATAACTATTCAATGCTTTTCATAAGGTCTACCTGGTAGTAAATGTTAATTTATTCTTCTTTTCCAGGCAAAGGTCTGGACATGTCGCTGTTAAAGCAGCCCAAAGCACTGTGAGTAATCCCAGATAATGTTTTCATGTTGAGACTCTTGTATGCCAGTATTGTACTATATTATTAGTTCCTAAATGGATTTGTTTTCGTCTAGTTTTATTTTGTGTTATAATTTGTATTTAATCGGGGAAGATAGAGAGGGAAGAAGTGGTATTGTTTACTGTTAATGTTTCCTTGATGATTTCAGTGATGGAAGTCATGTCAACGATGAGCTCATTCTTTCTGAGGACAGTGATGATGACGAGGTAAATAATTGTGAAATTGTTGGCACTGTACTGTACTGTAATGCATAGTTGTTTAATTGCCTTACATATCAGTAGAAATAGTTTAAAGCTAGTATTTGGTGAATTTATTTTATCTGGAATTGTGGGGCCAGTTTTTTGTAATTTAAAAAAAATTATATTGTAATTAAGCTTGTAATGTTCATGAAGATTCATATTCATTGTATAATATGGTTAATGTACTTCATTTAACAGACAAGGGTCAGTGATACAACAAACAGCAGGCCGGTGTCCAGCTCAGCCCAGTTTGGTACTCCTGCTAGTCATTTGCAGTCTTCTATAGGGCCTCCTACCAACTCCATCCCCCCACTGTCACCAATTTCACCAAAGACATCAGAGGAATCTTCCTCTTCAGATGATACCAGTGATTCAGATGTGTCTTCCAATAGTGCGTCTGACGACGAGCAACCCGAGTGCTCACCCACGGTGAGTCGCAGCAGTTCATGCTCTGCCCAAACATGTATCCAACGTAAATAGATGATTGAAAATACTTAGATTAATATAAAGCTGTAGCAGCAACCAATTAGCTAAAAATTACTAAATTATCTTCTCAGTACTGTAATATATATATAATTTTTGTTATATAAATTTGAGTATAAAATATAAACCCTTGCTACATTTTATTTTGTTCAGAGGCATTGTCATTTTACACATTACCTATGAACAAATGCATTAATATTTGCTTAATTATAGTTGATAATTGATTCATAATGTTGTCTTGAATACTTGAGTATAGCATACACATGCAGTATTTAATGAAATATTTGATAGCATACTAGTACAGTATATGTGTGTTTATTATATACCTGTATTGTACTGTATATGATAACAGAATAGCAACAGGTGGAAAATATATTTTTATTTGCTTCAGTGCTGATTTGTAGATTTTAATTCGTCTTCCTGTGTTTTTATGTTATCAAATTTTTCATCACATGTTTTTGTGTTCTATCACGTGTGTGTGTGTGTGTTATACTTATTTGTTTTTATGCATTTAGTATACAAATAAAGATCTATGCTCAGTGTTCCATTATCTTCTTTATATTTTATATAATAATTTTAAAATTTTCAATAGTTGTAGAACAGTCTTCTAGAGTTTATTCCAGCCATATACAACTCTGTTGATAAAAAAAAAGTACTTCTTGTTCTCCTTTTTACACTTTTCCGCTGCAGTTTGCATGTTGAGTAAGGTTGCTGGTTCTCGGCCACTAAGTTACTAATGCCATTAAATAGATTAAAAAATGTTTAACATAGTTTGTAAGTAATTAATATGTGATTTGAAGGGAAGGTTTATCTATAAAATGACAACTCTGTTAAATCTGTGGATTCAACACCTGTTGAGATAATAATAAAATGTAATTGACAGAAACTTCAGCAGTCCAGTTTAAGATATTGGTAATCTTGTCACTGGGGATTGAGCAGATACTGTGTTTATATTATGCTATTTTAAAGGAGTTCTGCCAATTTAAACATGTATGATGTATATTATTACAGTATACCAATACTGTGTTTATATTATCTTTTCTTCCTCTGTAGTATCTTTAAATATACAGTATTACGATAAGAGTCCGAATATTAATCTAGTGCCAGTAACATAATACTGTATACCATACAATATTTCACTAAGATTGAATAATAATAACCAAGAACTGTCCATCGTCAGTGTTTTCTGGTTGCCTAATTTACACACATCTGGTCCTACTTTATCACTTCTTATCAGCTTTACAAAAGCATAAGATAAACGTTTTTCTCAGACCTGACAAGTTCAAAATGTTGGAACATATGGTTTATTTTTAGTGTTTTATATTTGCATATTAATCTATTTGAAAAGTACAGTATTGTAAATAATTTTTGGGTTTAGTTTTGTGGAACACTTTCAAATGATGCTAGATTTATTTTGTTACGAGTGGCCGTTGACCAGCAATTTTACTCTGGCTTTGGTTCTGCTTATTTCTAATTTAAAGATGCTTCCCTCTATTTTCTCTTATTCTTTTAACAATTTCTGTTGTCTATGGTCACCACATCCCTCCTTATTTGTCATCAAATTTGGATATTATATTGCCTATTTCTGAAATCCATTTTTGTTGCATGTCTGAAGAATTTATATTTCATCAGTATATTTATTTTGGTACAGACACAATACTACAGCTGCAAACATCAGTTTAGGTCTGACATAAATTGGAACTAATTTCTTTAACATTAATCCAGCAATATACTTTAAGGCTATTCTGAAGGGTAAATAAACACCAGAAAGTACAGCTACAGTGCTGTACTTACTGCCAGAAAGTACAGATACAGTACTGTACTTATTTCCCTTCTGTGGCATCTTAGTTATACTGATTTCTGAATTAACTTCACTCAAAATATTTATAAGTTCTGGAAACATATTCATGTAATTTCTTATGGGCCTTGGTGAATCATTGGTATATACATCATTGGTATATACAGTATAAGGAACATATTCTGGCCAGCCCCGAACTTTCTGGAACCCCATTTGTGACCTGCCTCCATGTATAAAATTCCCTTCTGAAGTTTTTCAAATGAGAATTTTTTTATCCATTTACGTAGAAGTGCTCTGTATAATGTACTTCCAATATTTGGGTATTTCCAAATTAGTCTTCCAAATTCTGCTCAAAAAATTATAATTCATAAAAAATTTAACCCTCCCGTACAATTGTTGCTTTAATGAGTAACTATTATAGAAACTCGTTAAATTTTTTACATGCAGAATTTTGCTGATTGAAGTTAAAATGGTTCGTTAGCAAGTTGTCATTTCACTTTCTCACTCACTTGTCTGTCTCACTCACTTTCCTCTAATGGCCCTAACAACATCTTAAATTATTAGCGAGTCCTTCCTATCTCCCCTATTTTATATACAGTACTGGTATATTATTTGCCAATGCCAATCCAGCTTCTTTGTCTTGATTTAAGACTTTGAAGCTGCTCCAGATTGGATAACAAAGTTCCTCTACATTTGTTGCAAAATCCAGGGCATTATCCCATCTGGCCTCATTGCTTTGTACTTCTGACATCGAAGTGAAGTCTTTTAATTTTCTTTAGTAATATTTATTGGGCGCTCTTCCTTTCATTGTTTTGAAGCTTAATTTTCATATGTTAAAATCTTTATCTTCAATTTGCACACTGAATGTATTCAATAAATGTCAAAGTTCTCACCAGTCATTGCTTGACATATATTTCATTGACTGTCTTCCTCTTCATACAGTATTTGTACTAATTACTAGCCAATTGTAGCATGTTATATGCAATAACCTAAACCACAATCCTAATTCTGATAGGATTGTGGCTTAGGTAATTGTATATATATTCCAAACTCTCATCATTGCACTTCAGAATCTGTTGTCAAACCATGATTTTTATTTCATCATTGTTTTAGCCATGGAATTAATTGTTTTACTCCTTCATATATGTTGCAGAATGCATCATATATGAAGTATACTGGGTATTTATGTTGTTTCCCTGAAATTCTAGATGTTATTCAATATTTCAGAAATTCTCATTATTCTGCATATCTTCCTATCTGCTGTATTTTTCTTGATCTTACCTTTGAAAGATCTTTGCTAATTGTCAGATTCTTAAAACTTTCTTTATCCATCAGTTTAACATTACTGAGTGTCAGTTCAGATGCTTGCTCGTGTTTTTCATGCGTATGTTGTACAATTTATCTGTGCTGTACTTGGTAATGTTTTCCTTAAAGGTAAATTCATATTTAACTTCAGTGACCTTGGCATTAAGTTTTGTACTAAGTTATCTTTGTTAGTTCTTGATGTAATATCCTCCTTAATACACAACCACTGAACGTAATCACTCTTCCATCTTTTCACTGATATTTTTGGATATTTGGGGTTGGTTGCTATCTCTTGATCTTGTACCTTATAACCTTATATGTTTGTTTTTTGGTACTTTGGCTACAGCTTAGTCAGGTTACTATTGTTTAGCAATGTCTGAAACAAATCTTTGTATTAATTTACATTATTTTATAACCTGTATTATTTGTTGCACCTGTTTGTCAGTTTTGCTTTTGCTCTGTGATATCCTGATCAAGCCTTCATTCTTTGCATTATTTTTTTGGCTACTCCATACTTCCTCTGAAGTCAATCTAACAGCTGCCACTTACCTCCTCAAAGTCTGGCTTTCCTTATTTAATTTACTGCCATTGCCCCATTTCTGGGGAAGACGACAAAACTTGACACCACCGACACTGCCTCCTAGAGCCCTTAACCATTCGTAAAGAAACTGACCATACATACCTGGTGGCTGTCATTTGCTTTCTCTCATCCTTAATTTCTAGTTTCTCTGTACATTCATGGATTGTGGGACACCAATCACATAATCTCACTGTGGGACACTCTTGACATAATTAGGCAAAGAATATTAGGAAGCACCATCAGGAACTGGCTGTGTCTGTGTGTGCACGTGTGCGTGTGTGTGTGTGTGTTTTTTGTAGATGTGTGCCAATAAGATAATTGCATTACCTCAGCCTCAAGAGAACAAATCGAAATCATCATGGACGCTGGATAACTTCATCCAACCGAGGAAGACCAGTTCGCCTTTATCACAGGGGGTACGTTTCTTACATTATGTTGGTCATGCTCCTTTTTTTTCCACTTCATTATAAGTTTTGTTGCTGTGCATAACTTATTATATTTGTGTAGCTCATCTATTTTGCTAATTGGCAACAGATTGTTTCATTATATGAAATTAATTTTTGAAATAAAAATGTTTACTCATTTTATGGCTTCATTAATTAATTTTGTGTGTAATATTTATTGGTCAAACAGAGGTTGAAAATTTTATCTTGAAGTATCAATCATATATCTGTCACCCAAACTTGCCATTTACATGGCCTGAAATGGCCTCATTAAGGTGCTCATGAAAAATGAGAGGGAATTAAAAATAATATTAATGCTAATGACATGTCAGGATTTTCATAGTATTGAAAGGTTTGTGTGTACTTTGATCACCAAATTGATTTATCGTTCCACTTTCATGTGCAATTTGGTTTTATGAATTTTTGTGTCCATGGCACATCTGAATCAGTCTAGCACAATGCATTGTCATTTTCCTGCATCTTGATAGGTGGCCCATCAATTAAACCATGTGTCTGCACAGAGAAATCACATTAAAATTATTTATCAATGAGAAAATCAGTAGGAGCTTTGATGAAGATTCGAACCTATGCTGTGGGTACTCCCAAGCATATGCCTTAGACAACAAGGCCATGCCATTGTCAAAAGTATTGTAACCTGGGATTCTGCTGAATCCTCGAGGGTTCCCAAGGCTTCCACTGAAGCCGGACCATGGTTTTTATAAACCATGTGTCTGTTTTCACTTGTACACTTCCCCTCTGTTCTATCTTTATACAGTTATAATACATTTTTTAAATCTTGTCATTTGTTATAATGTACCGCATCCTTGGACCTTTGTGCTTTCTCTCTCTATGATATTTACGTCACACTGGCTGTTCTTTTCTTCTAATTTTATTTATTTGTGTGAGTTTTAGAAACTTAAAGCATCATATAGTTCTAGAGGAGTTGACTGTTGCTTTTAGTACAAATAGGCTATTTGTATAGCCTATTTAAAATATAAATAAGCAAAATATAATTAGTATACCATATATTGTCAGTGGTATATGATAACCATTTATTTATAACATCATTTATTTATAACATTTCATAGATATATATACAAGATGCTTAAACAACAGTTAGTATAGTTCATTTATTATGCACCCCATACCAGTCCTGTTGGCAGAAGTGGAAAGGGTTACAGAGGCACATAATTGGCTCAGGGACCGAACCCCAAAATCCATTTAGCAAATCAAGTTAGTTTTGATGAACCAGTTACAAAATTCAATGCACATCGTCACATCAACAAAAGGCTCAGGACCGATCACAAGTATGGTTTCTAAATTAAGCAATTGACATATGTGAATTTGTGATATACACGAATTTAGAGAGAATTCTGTAACAGATGTTCATGTTCAAGAGATGTGTAAATATTTCATTCAAAATTATCTGCTACCAGAAGTTTTAGTCAAATATCTCCAGTTTGATAAAACAAGAGTAGTGTATTTATCAGAGCAATAGAATTAAACTGACAAATTACATTTTACCTCCACAAACATTACATTAAGCAATACTACGACAAATATTTCATCGTAAATTAAGAAAGGAAGACAACCTTTTCATTATGAACTTTGTATACGGTATGTGCTATTAGAAGTAGAGTGGGTGAGGAAGTCAGTGGTAGGGCAGGCAGTGATACGTTCTCCCGCATCTATTACCTTTCTCACGTACGACACATCTAGTACCAGTCATGTGTGTGACACATTTAGTATCTTTCTTACATGCGACACATCTAGTACCTTTCTTACATGCGACACATCTAGTACCTTTCTTACGTGCGACACATCTAGTACCTTTCTTACGTGCGACACATCTAGTACCTTTCTTATGTGCGACACCGAGTACCAGTCTTAGGTGCGGCTCCCCCTCATATCTATATTACTGTACACATCTTCCTAGTTACATTAACTGCTGTCATGCCTGTTTTATTTATTTTAAGTAGTTCATTTCTGTTTAAATGTACGTGGAGACATAATTAATACCACATTTGGCATCCACAGATGCCTGCAAGATGCTGCATTTCATCTGATTGGTTTTGAATTATATAGCCATCCAATCACCAGTATATTTGTTGGTAGCATAGTTGTCTATCACATTAACAACTGCCACAATTAAAATTTTGTAACCATCCTAGCCAGTAGACTTCTAACAGGTTTCTTGAAAATTACAATTTTTGGGGTATTATAAGTGAAATGCAGTATGCTTGCACACACACACAACACTTGCACTACTTGATAATGATCACTTCATAATGATCTGTTTATGACGTGGTGAATTACAAATACAGAGAAGAAATAGGACCTAAAATACTCTTGGTAACATGTCATTAATTTGAGGAGAGTGAACATTATAGCTTTGTATAAAATGTAATTTACATTTTTTCTTTATTTTTGTCGTACTTGTAGCTTGCAAGTGAGAACGTACCTTGATGTTCATAGATTTGATGAAGATTTGTAAATTGTACGTCTTGCCGTGATAAATGTTGACAAATTTGTATATTGGCTATAGTATTTAAATTATACTATAATTGCTGTACCTATATAGTGTTTGTGGTGGTGCATGTTTTCTGTGATTGTTGCCAAGTCTAGAAAGAGTGAATGGATAGATGTCCTTCTATCTTTAGTCCTCATTTCCTGTGCTGGTCTCCTTTTATCTTCAGGTGTATGTCAGTCCATCCCATTAACTTTTGTAAATGGGATTATGCTCATAATCATAAACATAAGCTTAATTTCACAATATTAAATATTAAATGTATCTTATGATTTATTTATATATTGTCTGTTGTTTCATGAAGACGCCTGCTGGTGGGCCTGGTCTGAGGCCTGAGAGCAACCCACCCATCGAGGCTACAGTACCTGCTCCAACATCTAGAGAAAAGCGGGATCGTCGTATCAGTAAGCCACCCGCGGCATTTAATTCTTCTGTTCGTGGTGCAAGGGCTGTTGTGGATGTGAGAGGGCGAGGAAAACCTGAGAAGGTTGGTCACTACGATGACTCCTCAGATGATGGGGAACCTCATCCACGGCCGACTCCTCGTGTCTCTGCTGAGTTGCGGCAGACACCAAAGCATGGTAGGGACCATGACTCTAGGGTCAGGTCGTCAAAGACAAAGACATCAAGTAATCATCCAGTATGCTCAGACAGTGACTCAGATCTTGAGCCTATCTTTTCCAGGAAACCTGGAGCAACCCAGCCTTCGAATGGTTCTGTTAGTGTTGGTAAAGGCATACCAAAAGTGTCGGAGAAACCTCCCAAAACCAGTGTTCTTCAAATGTACCGGGAGTCTGCAAAAAAACCACCAAGGAAGAGATCTGACTCCTCAAAGAAAGATAGTCATATAGGTGCCAAATCAGAGACTGGAAAATCAAAACGTGTAACGACATCCATGGAATTTGTTCCATCTGACATAGATTCTGATTCTGATAGTGATAGAATTATAGATGTAGAAAGTACATCACCAGAAAAAATGCCATCCAGGGTTGCACCGTCTTCTCGGTGTACACCTTCAAGGACACCTAAGGAATCATCAAAAGTTGCTCCTAGTCCTGTGAAAACTGTCCAGGCAAGCCCTCATGTATCTCCCATGACTTCTGTTAGTGTTTCTAATAAGACTAGTGTAAAAAGACCAAGTGGTGGACTTAGTGAAGCCATAAGTTTAGAATCATTAACAAGCAAAAGTGAGGATGAAATGCACTCTCCTTGTCGAGGCCAAAGTAGTTCTCAAAAAGTAGACATTGTCAGAGACAAAGGGGCGCTAGTGAACCGGGCATTTAGCACATCAGTTAAGAAAACCAAAGGGGGAAGGGAAAGGGACCCAGTGGAAAAGAATAAGAAAGCAAAAACTGTATGTGATCCAAGAAAAGTTAGTGGTAGTAATAAAGACATGAGTGAGAAAAGTGATAGAGAAAGAAGTAGAGGCATAAGTGAATCAAGTTCGGTGGACAGCAGATTAGAGGGGAGGCCGATTACCTCTCCTGTAGTGAATAAATTATGTAAGTCTCCCATAGTTAGTGCAGAACCAAAAGTGCCCATACCCCAGGTACAATATGAAAATGGTGTTCCAAAACTCACATGTACAATACCCCTTAGCTTTATTGACAAAGTGCCCAAATCTAGTGTAAATGGTGCATTGTGTTTAATTAAAACTGAAATCAAGGAAGAAGCAGATAAAAAGAAAGTCCTTGATAATAGAACTAAAGAAGGGAAAGGCAAAAGAAAAACGTGTGACCCAAACAGTAAAGCGCCTGAAGATGTGTCAAAACGAAAAATAATTACGTCCATATTCGGTGGTGTTAAGAGATTAGACCATGAGAGTGATGAGGATAAAGTAAAAAAGGAGGTGAAAAAAGAAACAATTGACAGTGATGCTGAATATGAAAAAACTGGAATTAAGTCGTCAATCACTGTTAAAGAGTGAGTAGGACTTGCTTTACAGTTTATTTTGAATTATCTTAATTATTTTAATTTAGAGTTTAATCAAGCATTTAACTTGATTAACTCTATTTTGCATTTATATTTAGTATTCACGCTGAATAGTCAGCCGTGAAATAACTAACAGTAGGGAGATGATGTAATCTACAACATATAGAAGATATGTATGTTCCAAGTAGAATTTACAAAGTACTAATTTACTCCGTGCAAAGGTTTATGATAAATATTCACTGGTGTTGCTAAGGAAGTTTGTTTATTTTCTGGTTTGTGTAAATTTACACGTGTTCTAAAGGCAGAAAAAACTTTCCAAGCATGACGAGAAAGATTCATTCTTATCATAAATCAGTTAATATTTGTGTTATGTTATGTGCTTTTCTAAGGATAAACTGTACACAAATATTTATGAACAATTAATTTTTATGATCAATTTAATTATTAATATCTGACCATTTGTCAACATAGCTAAATTATGGCAATAGTATTAAATTTTTATGTGCAAGGTATAGAAAAATAAGATTTAGTTTATTGTGCATATAAGTTGTACATCCCATCCTCCCCATCCCTGAATGATTCTTCATCATAAAATGCAATTTATACACAACTTCTTTATTTAGGTTGTCATTATTGTATATAACTAGGTGATGCTGTCTATTCACATTGATGTTCAGTCATAGATGTTAGATATTGTAATTCATATATGTGCAGTTGCATGATTCTGTGCAAGTACAGTAAATAGTATTTGCTTTACTTGTTACTGTATTGCCTAAACATTATATGTGACTCTTCAGCACTTGGTTCTAGGGCATTAATTAAAATATGTTGGGATATTGTAGATGGCTACTATCAATGCAGAGGATTTATGGTGGACATAGAGGCTATATCTTTAATAATGGATTAACAGTACGAGGGCTCTGAATGAAATTATAGTTATTTAGTTAGGATTCTTGATTGAAAAAAGCAGGGAGCCTTCACCAGCAGGGAGAATGAGGTACAGTATATGTAAACAAAGGTGGGGGGGGGGGGGGTTAGAGTTAAAACTCTACAATAAGAAAGTGCCTGTGTGTTCAGAGTATGCAGCCAGACACTTGAGGCTAGCCTCACCAAACTTTGCAGGGTAAATGGTCTGGATTCTGAGCAGTACATAGGGTGGTTGACCCCCCATATGCCACCCTTTCCAGGAAATGTTAAATTACATTAAAATTACATTTATTTTCAAGCTTGCTAAACAAAGTATATCATCACTTAAGATTCATCTAGCATATTAATGTTAACATGGAAGATGGTGAAGTTAGTACTGGGAAGATAGAAAGAGGGGGGGATAGGGTAAAAGAGATAAGAAGAGGGGGGTACGGGCAAGGGAGACCCAGGCACAGTTCGAGACCCCTCCTGGTATGTAATATGGATTATATAAGACTGAAAATGTGGAGAAAAGAGGGAGATGTAATAGGTCAATAAATACTGTACTTTACATTGCTGGGCAAAATCAAGAAGAGAAAAATACCAAAAGTTTCTTTAGATCTAATAGCCACAGGAAGTATGCAAAGCATGAGTGTCATCGTCGACTTAGTACTTTACCTTATAAGAGTGGGCAATGATGGGAGTAAGGGAGGGGGGGGGGGGGGGGAATCATCTATGCTAAGGACTGTACTGTATGCTCTTGGCAACTGAAGTGGGAGAGGAGGAATGTACTGTATGTTGTAAGGCAAGGGTTGAAGTGAGTGTGAAGATCTGCTTAGAGGAGTGTGTGTTGTATTGGCAGGCATCTAAGAGTGTTTTGAGAATGTTCTTAGGTAATAGTAAATAGTGTGTAGTACATTGATAGATTATAAAGGTTGGTATCATTAGTTACTGTAACAAATGGTACAAGCTTACCATCCCTTTGCACCCAGAAGAAAACAGCTTTATTTATAATATATAAAATTCTCTATTGTACATCTATTTTTAAAGGATGTTAGTCTTAAAGCAACAATTGTTGACATTGTTCAGATAAAATTTTGTAGGTACAGGAATTTTATTGTTGATAACATTATACTCGCAAATGCTTTCTTTAGCCTATAATGAAGTTTGTTTATTTTTCTTAAAAGATGTTAATATTTGAATCCTTGTATTATATATTTAAATATTAGCACAGGAATTGCACTTTGTATGTAATAAAGTAAGGACTGTAACATGTTAAATATCTTCTGAGCAGAGAGCCAGATGAAACACCAATGGGTCGGCCAGTCGGTGTAAGACAACGTAATGTTTCTGCCAGTCCCATGTCACCTGTTTCTTCTGATACCTCAAGTTCCAGACAACACCGAAAGAAGAAGAAAGATAGGCAGGCAGAGAAGTCTCCATCCTCCCATGAAAGAAAAAGGGCCAAAGTAAGTAGAAGCTGTAACTAAAGTTAAGGTCAATAACCCTGTTCTGTACTAATGTTTTTGGTTAGAGATTAATTGTTTATTTTATTTATTTATTTATACACTATATTTATATTCAAGAAGGTACATTGGGTTTATGAGAGTACATAACATTGGTTTTCTTACAAAGCCGCTAACATGCCGATCATTTTCTGGGGTTCTGCAGAACACCTGTTGAGAAATGCGGGTCTAGAGTATAAAGGTTGATATATTGCAGGATTGGGGAGTGTGTATCCAAGTGGATAGGATATTAAAAAAAAAAAGGATGATGATGGATTAGTGAAGTAAATGCATTTTGAGTGAACTTGAGGGTAGGAAGAGAGGAAGGTTATGATGATGGGCAGTCATGGTGTGTGTGTTTGAGGAAGCAGACATTAAATGTGAATACTGTAATGCCAAGTTTATGGTGAAGAACAAGGCTGGGTAGAAGCTGTTTGTGAGTGAGTGAATACTGTGTATTTGTACTGTATATGGCAACTCAGAAGGAACACTGTATATACCTTATATTTTGAAGTGATGGATTGTTGTTGTGGGTGATTTGCTGCTGTGTTGGTGCTTGTTCACCTATGGTGATATGTATCGTGGGTGATATAATGAATGAGTAATAATATAATGGTATTCAATATCTATGACATTTCAAAATACCTGCATTGCTTTTATGATTTTTTTTTATATTTGTTTAATAAATTCCTCCCTGGTAACTACTAAACGAGTCAACTTGTCCTTTTCACGACCTACTGCTACATGTATCTTTTCATGGAAGAGGAATATGGAAGATATCAACTTGTCTAATAAATAGACACAAAGTATTTACATTGAATGATACACTTTTCTTTGCATTATGAGTTACTTGAGCTATCTCATTTTACAGTTGTCTAGTCTTCTCCCCAATCTATGTCCGATATATCTGAAAGAATTCTATCAGATTTGCCTGCTCTGCTCGATGCAGTTCATTATTTCTTCCTAGACTGTAAAAAAGACCTTTAATAAGATCTCTCATAAATAGCTGGTAGCATAAGTTGAATGAGACTAGAATAAATGAATGAGCTAGAATAAACTGGGAAGGTACTAAATTGCCAAAGGGGTAACTTAAAGGAAACAGAAGATCGTTTTCATATTTCTGAATTATTATATTCAAAAAAGAAATCAGGCACCTCAAAGCTTGGTCTTTGGACCTCTACTATTTTTAATCTATTTAAATTGCTACCTAAAGAAGATCGTACATAGCAATGTGTGCAGTGTTGCAAAACTAATGAGAAGGGTTATAGGCTAATAGTGTACATAACCTAAATAAGCAAGCATAATGAGACAGATGACTGCTGAAGTTCAATCCCAGTAAATGTAAGGTAATGAAACTTGGAAGAGGGAAACCAAACTTGAAGATGGAAGCAGTTACATGAAGTGATATATAAATGGAATAACATCAGCAGTGTGAATGACATTTGCAAGCATGTGGATAGCCGTGTTTTCATTTTTACAATATACACAGTTTATTTCAAATAATTTCTATAATATTCAGCACTAGCATAAATATCCATCTGGTAAAATGCACAACCAAGAGGTTGTGTGTTATAACTAGACAGGTGCTAGAGTTCACCCATAAAGTGTGGTCATTATTAAATAATGAACTATGTTTGGCATTAGTGTTTGTATAGCACCAATAGTCTAATGGTGTCTCACAGCAGTTATGGGAGGCCAAAAAGTGGCGTAGACACAAAGGGTCATCAGCCCATGGTCAGGTCACAACTGAAAGGTCCCAGGCTTCATTTCTTTGACAGGACAGAAGCAACTTTTCCCTTTGCCTGATGCCCTTGGACTGTTGTAGATTGAATCCTGGGGAAGGTTTGTAGTTGACCTGGGAAGATCTCTATCTGGTTTCCTGTCACTAAGTATGGCAAACCATAAGGTGAACCATATTTTTAAAAATGTATTTTTTTACCTTGTAAAGATGAGTAAGGGTGACATGATAAAAGTATATAAATGAATAAAAGGCTATAACAAGGGAGATGTAAGTAAGGTTTTAAATACGTATAAAAGACAAAATAGAACAAAACAATTGATATAAATGGGATAAGTTTTAAGAATGCAAGAATAAAGGAAACTGCAGAAGACCTATTGATCCATTCGAGGCAGCTCCTATTTATATCCACGTAAGCTCATTCACATATATATGTGTAGCCTTCAATTGAAATAATCCAGCCATCCCACATCTATTAGGTTACCCAGTAGTTTGGTTCATAAATTAATACCCATTTCAAAAATTAATATTTGCTTCTGTCTTTCCAGAAAATAAACTTCTCCAATTTATATTCATTTTTTGAGTTCTATTACGTGTTAATAATTTGTTTTGTCGGGGACAGGCATCCTGTGTATATACACGGTATATACTTTATACTTGTATCAAGGTCGCTTCCACCCTCAAGGATGAATTACTGACCTTTTCCAGGATGCAACCCCACAACAGTTGGCACACTCTTGGGTACCTATTTACTGCTAGGTTAACAGAGGCATTAGTTGAAAGGAAGCATGTCCAGCCATTTCTGTTCTGACCTGGGAATTGAACTTTGTATCCCTGATCCCAAGGGAGTCAGTATGTTATAAATATTGTAATCTTTAGTCTTCCTGCGGTTGCTTAGGGAGCAACTAAGTGGAATGACTCGGAAATCAGTTTTTGAGTGTACAAGTTCAGAATAAGATGAGTTCCTTTCTGAACAGGACACATTGTTGCTCTCATTCTTTCCCTTGTATACCTCCTTTACCTGTGCTATATAGGATGATGATGTATACATATAAAGTATGATCTGGCCTGATTTAGGAAAATTGACATGTTGATTTTTGTCAGTTCCCTATCGATGTACTCGTTTTGCTACTCGGTGGCAATTTGTTTTGACAGGTGGGTCAACTAACAGTTAGCGAGAATGCTGCTTGGTGATCCGCATGGTGCCAAGTAGAACTTGGAAGGGCTTTCAGTTTATTTGAATGAACCTTATCAAGGTCATTTCATGTTGCAGACTGAATTCAGTATTTTACAGTATCTCCCTTTCACAAGTATGACCCAACAAATAAATTTCAGACGATTCCAGTTGCACAGTAGTAGTATATTGGTGTTTTCTGACCATGCAAGAGCCTTTCCATGGGCCAAGCAGGATCTTTAATAAGGGAGCAAATGTGTTTACTCCTTGAAGCAAGCTTTTCATAAACACTCCATACATGATTTTTGCACAATTTTTATTTTTTTATTTTATGTAAATTGTTGTATCTGCTTATTGTCCTCATAAATAAAGCTTTCAGGTCCCTTGGGCCATTCTGGGAGCATTATTGTTCTTGATACCTTTAGCCACTGGCCTTTGCTCCTTCTCCCCCCCCTCCCCAAGAGAGATACTATAGGTTATTATTAGGCCTACAATGACAAATTTATAACAGCGCATGTTATGTTTCAGAGCAATAGTGAACGTCAGCCTCTTGAGCATCCAAGTTTAACTGCTGCTGGAAGTAACTCTTGTGATGATTGTGACTTACAGCGAAGTAGGAGGGGTGGTAGTGTTGACAGCGAGAAGTGCACTTCCTCGCGAAAACGGGCACATGAACGGGATAGCAGGTATGTGTATAATACTGCTTACCTGAAAATCTCATTGTGAAACTGTTCTGCTTTGTGTATAATGATATGTGCCTGTTAGCATGATTTTTGTGCACAATCACTTGTGCTTGATAATATCAGGAAATCTGTAAGTCCCTGAATCATAACACTGTATTTTCTATATTGCTAACATTGATAGGCTATATAAACCTTTGTTCACACAAAGGTTTACCACCTCATTCACTAAATTTGATAAATTTTATTGAATGTATTTAAGCATATGGTTAAGCACAAAGGCCAGGAGCCATTCAGCATTATGAGACTATGGTAGACCTGTGGATCAGCTAATAATTTACTTTGAACATGGCATCACATCAAAATTTACCCATGACAGTTATGCAAGGCATTATTTTCAAGTTAGATATCTCTGGTTGCTGAAGAAAGCTTCAGGGGTACTGCTATATGCTAACTAGAGAACTCGCAAACATGGAAAAGGTAAATGTCTAAATATTCCAGAAATGGGACAGACAGAATGCACTGAACTAAACCAGTGTCACTGGCATGCAGGTCTTGCAAATTACTGGAGAAAGTAAAGTATTTGTAATCTTGATTACAGATATCTAAAAGTAATTTCAGAGATTTGTAACAAGTGCCAAAATTACGAGTTAGCTATGAAAACAAGTCACTCTAATAACTCTTAAGAAGAGAGAAGACCTATATGATTACTATGTACAGAATTCTCAATGGGGAATAGACATGATAGACAAAAATTGCATTTTTAATTTACAGAAAATAGAGCAAAGGGCAAAAGGATATGAATGGAAGCTGGAAATGCAAATGAGTCGAAGAGATGAAGGCCGTATTTATTCGCTGCACAGGTAATCAACAAGTTGAATGCACAGAAAGAAACTGTGGTAGTCACTTCCAGTCACTGCTTCAAGAACAAATATAGCAAAGAATGCGAGTAATGAGCAATTTTAAACACATCAGGTATAAATAGCTATGAGATTGAGGCCCAAAGAGCTGGATCTCTCACACCACATGAGTTTACTCCAAGATTACTTTAGATTCTCGTTTTGTTTGCTTTGGCAAAATCTATCTCCCTTTCTCTCGAGTTGATTTTTTTTAGCATCTATCTACTATTCAAGCTTATTTTATGTAGCATTATCAGCTTGATTAACCAGATCACGAACCAAGAAGCCTGGCCAGATACCAGGCTGCAGGGACACAGATCCTGGGAATATTGACAGGTATACAATAGGTATACAAATCTTGCTCCCAGACATGCAAATTTCTGTCTTGGGGAGAAAGTTAGGAAGACGAGTGCTCAGGCCAATCTCTCTACCCCCTTATCACAATGAATATGAGGATGTTTGCACCACAGTAGATGGATTAAGTAGCAGGGAAGAATCTAGGAGATATAAAATGACAGATGAATGACAGTGTATAGTGAAATTGCAAGAAATAATTACATTACTGTAATACATGGGGAAAGGGGAGGATCACAGTAATAGAAAGGCAACGAACATCCTGCAATAGAAGGGTAGAGATATTCATACAAGAAAGGTCCATAATAGCATCAGTTAATAGAGAAGGGTAAAAGAAAAAGTTGGTTCTTTTTTAATAACTCATTGGAAGAGTGGGAGCTTAGATAAATATTTGTTACAGGATACACATATTCTTAGTGTTATTTACTCATTATTTAGTCCTTTTTACTTTCATGTTGGACCCAGTGGCAAAATTTGTCATGCTTGGAATTCCATATTAATAACCTTTCTGTCTTCAGCTTGGAGAGTACAAGAAGCAGCTCCCGAGCCAACAGTGAGTCAGGAGAAAAACGCAGCAAGAAACCAAAGGTCTCAAAGGGTAAGGATCCACCTGAGGCTGCTATGAGTAGTCCCAGCATGAGGTCAGCTAGTCAACGCACAGCCGACGACAGTCAATATGTCCGGACTCAGGAGAAGGAAGATTCCTGGCAACTGAAATATCCTCAAAGACCCCAGCATTCTCAACAATCTAGTCAGGTCAGGATCCATACTCTAATATTTTTTAAATAATTTTCATTGTTTGCAAGAATATTCATATATCTTATTACATTTCCTTTCCTTTGTCATTCTAATTTTGTATGCTATATTTCCCTACTATATACATATATACATTATCATTACCCAGTTCCCCAATTTCCTGGGGTGGAGGTGAATCAGCCTGCAGAATAAAAATTATTACTATAGCAAAAAGGGGTTCTAGACATAAAATAATAAAGTATTAAAAATATCACCTGTTCATCATTGTATTATCCATTATGTACAGTATAGCATCATAATTATGTCGAACCAGGCCTCAGGCCGGGCTCAGGGAGTAGAAAAACTCCCAAAACTCTATTCAGGTATGCTCTAGCTATGGGTGAAAGAAGCACCCCCACACTACAGGAGTCATTCTCATCAGCACCTCCACCCCTTCATAAGATTAGATTTGTCTCGTACCATAAACTGTGTTGCTCACACTTGCTCACCCACACTTCCCCATGTATTCATGTCATCCTGACCTTTCTCTTCTTAAACCCTTCTCTTCTTATTGGCATTCAAAGTGTAATAAAAATACTGCAATACAGTATTAGGTTTTTGTATACAACTGATTCAGATTGAAAGATGTGATGTTGATCTATAAAATATCATCCGAATCTAGTCTGTCGATTCATTTCCTACTGTGATATTAGGCAAAATCTGTATGTAGCTGAACTTGTGAAATGTTGGCCCTCTTATGAACTTATGAAGCATGATGTTTGGTCATTGGTTGATATGGGAAAAAAAAAAGATGAACATTATTTTATTTTACAGTATTCCCAGAAGGGCTACAGTGGTGTGTCGGAAGATGCTGGGGTTAACCAAGAGTCAGAGTTTGGTGAGGAGGAAGATGGGGCTGCTGGTGGCTCCCAATCGTCGCATCAGAGATTCTATAATAAGGTGAGTTAATGCAATCGGTGCACAAAACTCCCATCTTTAAATTTTATATGTTTTGACAAAATGGCCAAGTGCTCAATAAAGATAATGGCTGTATGAATTTGCTACCATTAAAAAGTAGTTTGTAATCATTGTGTTCACTGAACATGTACTTACTTGTATATCAATTATCTGAGTAAATGTCATAGCTGGCATTCAACATAGTGATGTGTATGTACAGTAATATAATCTTTCTCAAATGTGAGATGAGCAGTAAATATAATGCAGATATTATGAATAATATTCTAAAATAATAACAGAAATCCATTGACTATAGGAGAACAAGACATTTATAAGGCAAAGTTTTATTTTAAAGGTGTTTAATATTACTTTTGGTAATATAGCCATAAGTATGGTATGATACTTGGTAAAGGATATAATTCTGGAACAAATGTTAAGGGATAACTTTCACTTCAAACTACCCAGTGAAGATTATTATAGAAAAAAAATGGCTGATTGGTATAAAGAATAAACAGAATAAAGCTTTAAATTGCTTGTACTCATCTGTGGTTTTAGAATATATAGAAGAAACAAATTTTTGCTTTGCTTTTGAGTCAGTATTATTGTGAAATAATGTAAAAGTTTTTCTCACTTTTGCTTATATTTTATTGCATATTTTTAGGAGAAAGGTGAAGAGAGCGGTACAACTCCAAGTGCTGACAGTAGTGGTTATGCTTCGCGGCCAGCATCAGAACACGAATCTAGATTTGGCAGTGCATCGTTTAGATCATCTGGAGACCAGGCCAAGAGCTCTGATTTGGTAGGAACAGATTCCTCTTCATCATCAGCTCAGATGGATAATGGCACTCCAATGGTTGCACCCTTAACCCAAAGACAATCTGCCTCAACCACCACATCCTCATCTGGTTCTGCTACCTCCACCCCTGCTGCTGCTAGAGCATCTTCAGAACAGTATGTATTTATAGTATCTCATTATCTCTCCCCTTTCAAAGCACTCTCCCTGTCTCTCCTCCAGGCACTTATCCCCCTCTGTCCCCTCTCTCAGGTACTCTACCTTCTCACTCACCCCTCTCCCTTCCTTCCTTAATGTCAAACACTTACCTCTCATGTTTGCTTACTGACTTCCTCTCTCCCCTCCTTTCTTCCTCTTTCTCTCATTTCTCCCTCTCCTCCTCTCTCCCTCCTGCATGTGTTTAGGGTATGGCTACAGTGAGATTGTTTAGCATCAGTTTCAAGAGAAGTTTGTGGATTGTTTTCATCGTCATTTGTTTATGTAAGACAAGTACTCCCCTTATTGCAGATCACTACTGCATGGACAGTATGCTAATCCTCAAGAGCGACTGTACACATCATATTTTGAAAAGAGATTACGAAAGATTGACAGGTAAGGTGCTAGGCTTTCTCCCTCCGTGGTGTTTGGGTTGTAGGGTTCACACATGATTGTGGTCATTAGGTCAATTAATGTAGTGATGGGAGTGCTTGGATTTTTTTTTTATGATATGCTGTGCTAACCAAAGAAAGTGTAATACACATCATAGTTGAATGCGACTTTTTGAGTCATACTTTCTTACTCTTTTTTTTTTTTTCTTTTATTATGCATTAGTGATGTTATTGAGTCATATAGTTTACAAAAAAATATTTGATATTTCTAAATCTCTTAATATTTTTCTAGGGATTACATGGGGTATTTGAACACGGCCAAGCAGCTGAAGCACATAGCTGATGGAGAGACAGATCGATCCATGCAAGCCATGAAGTACTTGGAGGCAGCGCTGTACTTTATACTCAGTGGGGAGGCCATGGAGGCCGACCATGATGCTTCAGCATCACTCACAATGTACAAGGACACACTTAACTTTATTAAGTAAGTAAAGTGGTTTAAGTACACTAATATATGAACAATTCATTTATCATTTAAGGTTATGTTTGCTCATAAACAAACATAGGAAAAATACAATCAAACAATTTTAGTTCACTGGAACTGAGGAGTACACTCAAATTTACTATAACTCAGATCCCTCATTCCACATATCTTAAACTTTTACATCAGAGCATCCATGATTTGCAAATTTTTTTCAGATGGGTATCATCTGTATTCAGAAGAGAGAACCAAGAAGGATCATTAAACTCAAAATTAGCTGTTATTAGGTAAGTTGTTTTTATTTTGGATAATTTCAAAATCAAACTTTATTTAGTTGAACAATATATTATTAATACTGTAATGTAGTGAACAATATATATAGTTACTATTCACATGTGTGCATTATTTTTCAATAGATATATGTATATAGCTATATCATTATACTGTATTATCATCACAACAAAATACTGTATAATAATAAGTTAACCCCTGCACTGCGCCCATGTTAAATTCAACACCTGAAGTGTATTACGTACCCATCTAATAATGCTCGAGAATAGCATAATATTCCACTAAATTCCCCACTCCATACATTGGCACAGAAAATGAGGATAATGAAAGGGGAGACTGCCTACTCACCAGTCTATTTCCAAGCTTGCACACACACAATTAACAAGGTAATCATACCGATACAAGTTGAGAACACCATGTGGCTCGCTCTGAAGGATACAGACACGGGTCAAGAATTATCTATGAACTGCAATTTTACGAGTTCCACGCACTGAGGAAACGAACAATAAAACGGCTATTCACTCGCACTACGATAAATCACAATTAAAGAACTAAGTTCTACTTACAGAAATACAAAACACCATACTTAAACCTAGGGAGTTACTAGACCAAAAGGAGAAATCACTGCTTCATCCACCCAGTAGTTACCACGCGCACGAAAATGAGGAGGCAGGCGCGAACGCTTTTAAGTCTGCCAAGTGCCGTGTCCCGACAGGAAGTCGTTTGGATGCCGATCTCCCTAGTAATTACTCTAGGCTATCTTCCTAACTCTTTTGCTTAGAACTGTTAAGCAGATCTAAGCTGGTAATTTATGATACCATAATAACAGTGAAGGAATCGTTTCTACTCATTACCTTTATCATTAACATTGAATACCAAAATGCTTTCTTCCAGGGTTTTTTTTTTTTTTTTTTTTTTTTTTTTTTTTGTGATATATACAAGAGTTGTTACATTCTTGTACAGCCACTAGTACGCGTAGCGTTTCGGGCAGGTCCCTGGAATACGATCCCCTGCCGCGAAGAATCGTTTAAATCGGTTAGTGGTAGGCCTGTTGGCAACTGGTGACCTGCCACATGTACGATGAAATGAAGTCATTTCTCTGCCTTCTATTTTTCAATGGCTATAATCTTACAATGAGTGGCAAAGGGAATAACTAAGTACATGCAATAGGTTTCCTTACTGAAACTAATAGGTACCTCATTTACTTTACAATTAACCCGAGGTGTAAAAACATGGCTGCCGTCACCATTAGGGCGGCGTTCCTTTCACTCATGAATACAATCCCACTATTCAAACTTAGATTAGGAGATTGAAGCATATTTGGCCTAAAACTGCCATCAATAAGCTATTACTATATGACTCCAGATTCCTATTAACATCTTTCTATTTCCCATAATTTCCACATTACTATTGGTACATTCTCATTAATTTACTTCCCATTTGTAAGGTTGGTACACTAATCTTTGACCTCAGGTCACCAGTGCTTAAACTGCTTCCAATACCTTCTTACTTCACTGGTTATGCTCAACGTGTTCTTACATATAGGATCAACACAGAATTCATAACACACTGCACATAGAATACATGCATGCTCCTTCCTACAACACATATATAATAATAATTTAATGTAAGGCAACACCTAGCATCTTTATTTCCTCTTAAAATCTCATCTACTTATAACTAGAAAGTTACGAGTCAGTTGTTCCTTCAACTGGTTCTAAGCTATTCGTAACACAGTGCACCAAAACAAAAATTGCTCTGAAATTTTAGTTTCACTAGACATTGCTAGCTAGCAACCAGGAAGCATAAAATTCCAAGTAAAAAGTCTCTGGCTCTTGTGGTTGAGCTGTAGGAGCCCGGGGAAAGTTTATTTATTTATTTATTTATTTTATTTTTTTCAGTATTTCTCACTACTGTATTTATATTTAGTTTGTTCTTTTTAACAAGTTGCATTGATGTGTCCAAGATGGTAGTCATGTTGTATAACTGAAAATATACTTAATATAGATATGTGTGCATATATATATTCACAAACCATGTATTTATTCATACTTATATGTATATAAGCCAAAATCTTATCATTTCACATAGCACACAATTTGTCTATAAATATATAAATGGTGATCACTCGATTGCTGTTGTTAAAAGTTCAGTTCTTTTAGTATGACCGCCTTGCATGTTCACACACTTGATGGCGACGTGCCAGACATGGATCTCATCTTTACACTAAGGGCCCTAGATGAAAAGTGAGGGACTCAGGATTTTTGCTCAAAATGGAAAATGGTTACTGGAGGCTTGAGGAAGCAAATGTGAGCCCTGTGTATGCGTGGGAATTTTGAATCTTGATACAGTATCTACGTGTGTCTATAAGGTGCTATACGCACCACTGGTTGAATACCTTAAGGTGCTGTGTGCAATGCACAGCTTAAATTACATCAATGCTGTGGAATGTTAAATGCCGTTTGAGACTTTGTTTTGATTACCCGGTACTTAAATTATTATTGATTTTATTAATATTCCATTTGCTCATTACAACTTCTAAAAATTTGTAGTTAAACTGATGTTGATAGACATTAAAATAAATGGAAACCAGTAAATATAAACACTGCTTAATTCTGTAAGGCATTGTTTATACTTTTGTGGGTTATTTCAGTTATTCATAAACAGGGTATTTTAATTGTGGTTTTAGGACTTTTAGCGACTTTTAACCATATTAGTTAATATGGTTAGCAGTAAAATAGGTACCTGGGTGTTAGGCAGTTGTCACGGGCTGCTTCCTGGGGGTGGAGGCCTGGTCGAGGACCGGGCCGCGGGGACACTAAAGCCCCGAAACCATCTCAAGATTACCTCAAGATGGTTAAATTATACTAGAAAACATTAAAATAATTAGGATATCCAAAAAATAGTTGACAAATAATCTGGAGTCTCATTTTTGTACATACCGGTAGTCTGTTTTGAGTCACTGTTTTTATATACTGTACATTGCTTCCAGTGTCAGATTAAATACACTTCATGTATATTGTATTTTGTACTGCATTGTGAAGGTAATTCTAAATACAGATTACACTTTTTCTTTCAGTTTACGATGTCAAAGTTTATTGTCTCTAAAGATTTATAAGATGCGAAGGAATGAGCACAAGGAAAACCAGAGGCAGCTTAACAGATATTTTCAGGTAAGTTCTTTGTGGTATTAATCTCCATTCAATTTCATGTGCTACCCTTGCTGCATTATTCTTTAAGTGTACCATTTTAACTTTAGAATGCTAAAATATATGACCATTCATGAATTATTTTTCAATTCACACTGTGTATACAGTATTATTAAAATAAGTTGGTGTATTACAACAGTTTTTAATGTTACAGAATTATAACAAAACTGGAGGTGTAGAAACAGGTGGCAGCAGTAGTCAGCAGTGGGGCGGTCAGAGAGCCACTGGTTCTCCATCTCACTTGTCACAGACTCCTTCACCTGCTGGATCTGTTGGCTCGGAAGGTTCTCAGTCGTCAGGTTACACCACAAGCACAGAGGGCACTCGCTCTAAGGGAGGAATTGTTGCTCCTCCGGTTGGTCACACTCCCCCACATCCACAACCGCCTCAGGGGGCACATGCCACAGTACCTGTTGTACCTGTGCCTGTTCACATCCATGCCCTTATCATCAAGCAAAATCAGCTCTCTAGCCATCTTGCCTCAGCTCACGATATGTGGATAGAAGCTGACCACTATGTCTCTCAAAATGGCATGCAAGGTTAGAAATTTTGTTTTACATCACAAACTTATTAGTATATTAAAAATTTTATATTGTAATATTATATATATCATGCATGTTTGATTAAATGTGCTGCATTGTATATACACTATCCACATGATTTAACCTCCTATTTAGCGTTCTGCCAGTTCTAACACTCGGTTTGGTGACCAGTATCTGGAGACTCGTATACGAAGCCGGTAGTCATTAAAACTGGAGGTTGCTATTGGGTTTGTTTTGGCAACAGCACGTCCTTACCTTGTAACCGCCACCGACCTTGATCATCAAAGAACCATGAATTAAATCTTAAATACTGTGTATTTAAATTATGTAGTTTAATATAACAAGGGAAGGCAACTATCAGGAGAAAGTGCCAAGCCATTATGACTAGCATTTGGAAGGGGTCAGGATAAGGATTTCGGATGGGACAGGGGGTAGGAATGGTGGACTTTTGAATGAATGAACCTCTTGGACAGTCGGGGATTGAACACAGACCTGCATGAAGCGAGACCATCATTTTACCATCCAGCCCAAGTGGTTGGGCTATTACAAATTATTAAGAAAACTGTTATTAAGAATAATTCTGTGTTTTTTTAAATACATTTTACGGTATATGGCATTAGGTATTTTTTTTTCTAGATGTGAACATGCAGTGTCAATCATTTATTGTTAGTGTTTCACATTGCTAACTTGGAGTACAATAACATACTGGGATTATACTTTGCATACTGCATAACACTCAGGCATTTTAGTGGTAAGAAGGCTACATAACTTCTTGAGAGGGAGGTGAAATCATTTTTTGTTAAGGGGGCCAATGACGAAAATATGCAATAAATGAAAACTAGTTCGATTTCAGTCAAACTTTCTTGGCAAATTGTATATGAAATTGGGTTCAACTGGCCCAAGTCTCAGCATCGTAACATAAATAGGAAGGGAGAAAAAAAATATTGAATTGTCAAAAAATTTCCAAAATGGTCAAAAATTAACATCAAACATGTGTCAACTGAAATCATGTCTATGACTCTAAGCTATCACAATAGCATATAATAAAGTATTATACTATTTACTTTTATGCCCCCAAAAATTAAAGAAATAAAAAATTCTCATTTTTTTTCTCATTTTTTATCAGCCGATTTGCATGAAACTTATACACCTTACAGAACGTATGTCTATCTGTAAAGATTAAAATTTTGGAGGAAATTGGTTGAAGTCAACTTCAACCACATGTGGCAGAATCTTTGATCTTATTTATATTCAAGTAACAAAATTAACTCTCCTCTCTAATTTTTTTTTAATTTACATGAAATTTACACCTTATATGTAGAGTTGATGTCTCTACAAAATTTAAAAAAACACTTCATTCCTAAGTTCATTTATTGATTTTATAAATATTTGCAAATATGAAATATTGGCATATATTTTTTGTGGAACTTTGACTACTTGTATTAGTAAAACTAATCATATTTTGGATAATCCTTTGTATACACATCCTTTATTATATGCTAATGTGATAGATAAGTGTCATAGAAATTATTTTATTTGAAAATTGTGGTTGTAGAGTATTATTGAAAATGTGTAAACACTATATACACAGGTTATATATTTATAAATCTTTCTAGGAGGAGGCGGTCGAGTCCTTGATTGATTCAATATCTGGGAAATTAGAGTTATAGATAATTACAGTAGTTCCAAACAATGAGTAAAGAATATTTTACAATTACTATACCACATAATGTAGTTACATATTATTTTGATCATGCTTGAAGATATTTACTTACATTTGAATTTAAACATCTTAAAACTGTATCATATACTGTACTGTATTTTGTAAGTTTTCACTATGACCCAGTTTTAAAGTTTTAACCGTTAATAATTATCTCTGAATTTGTCTTTGAGAACTGAGTCAATATTTGTAAGGAATTATTTAGCATTGAATAATTGAACATATTCATTTTTCAATTTCTGACCAGATTGTGATACAGTTTTTAAATGTCATACTATATTCGTAATTAATATTCCTTTTGCTCTTGGCTCAGCTCTTGTAAAAAGGAGTTTCCTGATAGGCCTAAATGTCCCTTCTCCCTCTTCCTCCTTTCCTTTTTATTACAAATTCTTTTGTTTACAACCACTACCATTTCAACTTCTGCCACTATCATTAAAATCCCCCCCCCCCCCCCCCCCCCTCCAATACAATTATTCTTGATACCACCACACCACTACTGCAAAGATACCACAGTATTGTCACACCAAAACATTAACACCCTGTCGTCATATTATCATTGAATACTGCCATTTCCCACCTCCCTTACAGCTTTCTGTACTCATTGCACCAGCCTCAACTCATTATAATAAAATTATTCATTACATTCTTTTGGTAATTGATCCATTTTATTTGACACTCCACTTTTCTCGTATCATGAGATATGCCGACCTGGGGATATAGCAAGATTGATAAACAAATAGCTGCAACATTTGCTAAAATTTAAATGTACAATATATGCATAACATACTGTGTACCCCTTAAAATTATATTTTAAAGGGGTTTATTTCATAATGGTTATTCATATTGCAGATTTCTTCATAGAGCTGAATCGTCAGGTTAGTCCGTTAACCCTCCACTCCTCCCTGTTTGAGCTTGTGTGTTATGTGCAGTATGGCCTCCACAGACTCAGGGACTAGTTGTCGCTGTCCACGTCTAGGTTCTGCCACTACTGCTCTTCATGCCCAGGGTTTGCTTGGTCACATCCAACTGTTCCAGTAGAACTTGGGAAGATATTAATAAGAGATTCAGCGTAATGGGCAATGGGACCTCTGGTGTAGCAATCTCAAGAAGCCTGATTTCCTGCACAGCTCTCTATGCCTTGTCATCAAATAAGTGAGCATATATTTCGCATCTTATGAAGTAACTCATTAAACAGGATCCAGATACTCAAGGAAATAACTTAAATACAGTTTAATACATTAGTGTAGTGTAATCAGGCTATGTGAAATTTGTAAAGGTTGTTCTCAGATCTCACTGGAGATGAAAGGCATAGGAATAAGTTCTGCTAGTTAACAAATACTGCAGTCAGTGTGGCAAGTACACGAGGCTAATGTTATATCCTGCTAGCTACATGCAGTATGGGAGCCCAAGATCCCAAACATTTGGCTTCCTGTGTGTGACAACTGTGATGCCTTATCATTAAATTTAGTTATGGATGGTTTTATACAAATAGTCTCAATGTTTTTATTATTATTAATTATTATTATTATTATTATTATTTTGTGTTATACTTCCCACCCAAAATGTACAAATTTGCTGAGAGGTCCATGTGTGTGAAGACAATGCCTTGTGTGCTCTTATGATGTTGAAGTGCATTCATGGCCATTCTCCCAAGAGGTGCTCCAAAACCACTCTCCTATGTTTATGGTACTTGAGAGTAGCTCTTATATGCTGAAAATGGCCAGATTAATGTCTTGGATAGTCATCGTGACACTAGGTGAGGTATCAAAGTTGGTTGCCTGACCAATAGAGATCGTTTTTGTAGCTGTATAGCTGTAGACTCTTTTGGCACATAGTAAATATTGAACAAGGGACAGGACAAAATGATTCACTTGTTATAGGCCAGCAGCGAGGTAACCCTGAAACAAAACGCAGCAACACCTCCTCTGTGGGGAGGTGAGCCTGTAAAGAAAATTTATATTACACCTCAGGTAATGCATTAATGGCAATAATGCAGAAATGAAAGTGGTTTATTCCAGAAACCATCTCGAATGAGTCGTCTAAGAAATTGAAAAAGACGGGTGTAAAGTCAAAGGTTGTGCTCGTGAAGGGTTGCTTTGCTGTGCTGTGCCCAGTGTACACCTGCCTGGTTCTGCTGGCCTGTTTGGCAATTTAAATAATATATTGTGGCATGTAACTGAGCACACACTCCCTGCCAGATGTATATTTTTGTACATATTTTGAGATTTAATAATGGTACTGACCATAACTATGTTACTGATATAGTACTTTGTACTGGGCTTTAATTCCCATGAAAATCCTGAACTTTTGTAAGTAACGAAAGTTGAAAATGACAAATGTATGGCAATGTTTTGAATTATTTTGTCCTTTTAGGGCAATATTGTTAAGTATACTTAATTTTATGGATGCTCATATGCTCGTTATAGATGATATAAAGTTGATATTTGTACTTGTAGACCTAAATTATATTGAACCATAAATGCATTAAATTATTTTCTTGTCACAAACCTATATGAGATTTATTCTCATTCACTGATGAAAGGCCATTTATACTTTTTTCTTCTGGTTGTCCATTTAATAATCTCCTTGACTCTGGTTGCCACTGAACGTTGATCATGAGTGGGCTGTCTCTTCCCGTCCCTTAAAACAGATGGCAGCTTTCTTTTTAGAAATCCTCCCATATTGTTTGGAAAAATCACAAAGTATTTGACAAACTGTTAAATTTGACAAACCTTGTTTCTGTGATGAAATATATTAACAAACTTTTAACTAGGTGTCTTCATTTTTCCTGCCTTGCCATTTCTCACCCATTCATATTGCATATTTTATATCAGATTATTATTCATTAATATAATAGATGATTCATATAAACTATTAATATTTGTTACTCAAAATGGCAAGTGTAATTTAATACTGCCTCATGTCTATTGTGTAATTTTTGTTAGTGTAATATTGGTCCTTTTATAACAAACGCTTGCCATGTTGATACCAGGTGGTAACCAGAGGTGGGTGATGAGGGTAGGTGGTTGAAACCTCACTAGGGACACAAGCTCCTGTTGTGTACACAAATTGTCTTCCTAGTATGCCCGAGCACTAGAGGATACCACCATTTTGTGTGTTGTCACTCCTTTTTGTTTATTGTTCATTCTCAAATACGTAAGTTCAGCCTTAATTGGCAAAGCCAAAGCTGGTACAACATGTTTTTGACTCATTGTTGGTTAATAATGGTTCTTCTGTATCAATAGCTTTGAACCAGTGACTGCAATATTGTTTGTTTACAAATTTATTAAAATGTTGAAAGTACTTGTTCCATTATTTAATATATTTTTGGTGGAGTTAAAATTTGTGTCCCTGGTGAAATGGGGCAGCTGAACTGCCAGGGTCAAGTTTACTAGGTGACTGGTCTGTGTGTGGCCTTGCTGCCAACCAGGTGGTGGTAGTTAGCTGGCTGGACAGCTCTAGCAGCGATAGGAAACCATGCTGCTGCTCACTCACCACACATCTTTGCCTCAATCATATTGCTTTACTTATTTACCAGAAGAAATTCAGGTTAGGTAGTGATGTTTTGATCTGTGGTTTAACTTTCCGTTGAACAGAAATATGCACAAAGTTATGCAGTTCCCATAGGCTCTGAGCCAGTAAGAGAGAATTAAAGTAACCGAGACAAACTATTTTCAGTGTTAAGGACAGTGTAGAAATGTGATATGTAAATGCCATTGGCGAGTAATAATGCCAACACAGTACAATATCCATCCGCAAGTATAGCGGATTTTGCGCCCCATGCAAGTCTGCCTAGTGTGGCCCTAACTCCTTTAATTTAACCCTCAAACATTAACAGTAATATATTATGCCTCTGTCTATAAGCATTCAGTTCTTCAGTTTAGCAGCCTTTTTTGCTCTCTTTTTGTAAAACTTATCTTTAAGTCAACCACGTATGTTTTTGCATTTTTCCCTACACTTTGACAATATTTTTGGCTGTATTGGGGTGTATGTAAATTGTTTTACTATGGATCAAGAACTGTGCCTCAGAGCCTTCCAGTGGCCAGGACTTGGCAGGTAAGGGAACCCTGCTCTTATGTGCGTGTTACCGCTCCCCACAGTCCCAATCCCAAACATGATTCACTCGTCTGACCTATCCTGTTAAATTTGAAGTAATCTTTTCCCTGTATCTAAAATTCCATTCCTTTACTTATCATTTTAGTAGCATTATTCTTGGCATATTCCGACTCCTCTTGCCTTCTGACCTAGCATTTTATTAGTATAATTTGTTGTCAGTGTTTTTTATATTAATTTTTTATATAGATTTTTAGCTTTCACTTCTTGGTTCCTTATTATGCCAGATAATTCAGCTCATCATCCTCCTCCACATCATGACCATCAGTCACTTCACATCATTTAGGATTTCCCCCTCGCATAGATATAATGATACCATTGTTGCTCCTCTGTTATAGAAGTGAACCCTTCTATAACAGATGTACTACTTCCTCCTGCCTACACGTTCACTGTGTGCGCGCTAGCCTTGGACAAGGGTTGCTGTGGTGTGGACGTGCTCGGAGTGTGGCCGAGACTTCACTCAACCACACACTCACTCATACAAGACCATCTCTTACAGAAAGTGTCCTTCCTATAACCCATACTCTCTGACCTTATTTATTATGACTTAAGTAGTGGTATCATTTTGTGTTTGGGTGCCTGGTGTAGAGGAACCCAAAAGCTGTACAAAAGGACAGTCTTATTTCAAATCTATGCCAAGATTGTATCTACAATAAGTAAATGAATAATAAATAACACATGCACAGTTTGCTGTTTTACAGATATATCATGTAAATAATAAAGTATTTCTTATGTTGTTAACTGTTTTTTTTCTCCAATAGCTTTTTTAAATATCTTATGCTTGCATGTAAGAAGTTCTTAACCCTTAACATGTGACCCTCATAAAAACTGTCGCCTTGCTTCAGTACCAAAAAAAAAAAAAAAAATAGAATTTTATTATACAATGACAGTGGCATGGAAGGGGGTGGGGAGTAGCTGCTGAGGTATTCTCTCAACTCCAGATGTGCAATTTGCCGACATTTTGCTGGCGAAAAAACTATCAAAGTTGAACATTTAAATACATGTTAGAAAAAGATTTAATTATGTATGGTTACAATGTATGCACCGATATAACATGTAAACCTATTCCTGGGTGTTGGCACAAACCCACTCCTTTGCTGCTATTTTGTCTGAGAATGTCATCCAAGCATAGATTCAGTCACTGGTGGGATAGATCAATTTGTGACTAAAGTTAACCACAGACCAATAGTACACGGTAACCTCATCGCACAGTAAGCGCTTACAAAATGACAATTTTTTTCCAGGGGTCTTCATTAACTCTATTACATCCACATAAGTTTATTTGTTATAACCGTACATGGGGTATTTGCATCATTTAAAACAAGGGCTGCTGTGGTGAAAATTGGTAAATGACGATAAAGTCAGTAAACCAGATCAAGGGGTACTTACCCCAACTGCATTTTATGGGTTAATAATAATACCTATACTTGGCTATACTATACTACAATAATACTATATACTTGGCTTAACCTATAATTATGCATTTTGGTTTTTGAAAACTTGGGAATATAATTTTAAAATATCAGAGAGGGTCCTAACAAAATACAAAATAGCTGAGCATGTCTGATTGACCAAATTACAATTTCCAGTAATACTTGTGTACTGGTATTACACTTTGAAGAAATAGTAAATCCATAACCCAAAACAGGACTAGATCCCAATGTCGGCTAAAATGTGTTTGTGAATCACAGTTGTTGATTAACCCAGCATGGAGATAATTTTTATAATTTCATTTTCTATATAAGGCTACAGTAAATCATGCCAGTGTCAGCCAGTTCTCATAAACAAGGGCCAAAGTCCATTCCATACACCCGACAAACCCCGTTTATTAATGAAAATGGTTTACACGACTCGACTGATGGCATTCAAACACTTCGCAAACAAGTGCTTCGCCGACAGCTTGTTAGAACCACAATGCTGTAAATTCTTCACCCACGTACTATAAATAATCCCCAACAGAACCAAACTTAACCAGTGCCTAAATATGCACAGTATACTAATACTGTATATAACAATATTAATTTATATGAGAAAATTACTATTTTGAACATGTTAATTTAAAATTAATGAATGCATCTTTGGGGTTGACTGCTGGATAGATTGGACTTGGTATGAGAACGGGTTGCAGAGTGTACATTAGAGGCAACTGCTCTCATGGACCAAAAACTGTCTTATTAACCAAGAAGCAAGAGTAAAACTTCATGGCACAGTCTCTGAATACAAAAGATATGAAAACGGTACGCTGCAAGGAGGCATTCTCAGCTCCCTTCTCTTCATCTATTTAATGAAAAGAATAATGAGGATGAAATTCGCACAACACTGCAGGCTGCTAAACTATGCGGACGACTTTGTTATCACCATAAAAGGAAACTATGCGGCGCGCCTTGCACCCAAATGTTTAGACTCAGGTCGCTAACCTCCTTCTCTGGTTGGAGCCAATCTGCTGGAGACACCCTCATAAATACAGTCAAGCAATATCCTTCCCCGTGATAGCAGCCACACAGTAAGGACTGACGATTTAAATGCGGGGCTCAGCACACGGCATATCCTTCCACGACCAAAGATCACATTCACTCCTAACATTACAACTTACGGGCTACTCATACCCGTGCCACCTCTGGGGTGCCCTAATCTTCATCAATCATCTTGTAACCATTCGAACTCTGTCATTGATAATGTTAACAAGGGTTAGTGAAACGTATGTCTTAGCGTTAGGGCAAATAAAACTGGAAATTTAACTTTTGGAGAGCTCACTATAAGACGACATTTGGACCTGTTGTACAATCCTAAACCAAAAATAGAAACCACAACACCTCCAAAAAATTATTACAAATCCACCATGCACAGTGAGCACAAGAAAGAGGAAAAAATTAAGTAAATAAATAATCCGTTGAGGAGTAAAAAGTACAATCCTTGACCAAAACAAACATCCTAATATTCTATGCAACGAAGAAGACCACAACGAAGACGACCACTGACATTGTTAAAAACAGTCACGAAGTACAAGAGAAAGACATTAATCACTCGACAAAGAGACAAAGGACAGGTAGAGAAGGATGACAAAAATGAATCGCAGGAATTAGTAACCTCCCACAAGTAGACGTGATTAAGAATTAAAACCTAATTGACATATGTCAAAATAGCCTGAAAATGCATAAATACCCTTTCAGAGCAAGAGAGATTGCTAAAAATAGAGGAATACATAGAACATATACGCCACGCATAGACACGATAAAGCACCTAAATTGTGGGACCGTCTCAAAGTTCTCAAAATGGAGTTCTCTGGAAATGAGACAAGAGAGGTATCACATAATATATACATAGAAAATACAGGAAGGCCAGGTCCCAAATTTACACAGTACAATAACAACTTACTTGAACAAACGACATGGTAGGAAATGTAGAATAGAGCAAGTGAAGAGTAAAGGTGCCATATTCACGGAGAACACTAAATGAATAGGAGGGTAGAAATAGCTTAAGCTACTCTATCCTTTTGAGATGTATCTTAGTCTCAATAAACTTACTTGAACTAGAACTAAATGAATATCAGAGGGCCACGACAATTCAATATCCTTTCAGCAAGTATAAGAAATATTACTGTATCAAAAGTAGATTCCCTCAAGAAAAAAAAAATAGCAAAGTTCTTGTAAGAAGTGCCAGACCAACCGGACTATGCGGACTATCTAGTTTACATTTCACAATGTAAAATGTGAAAACTATACATCCACCAATAAACTACTTCCACCTACAAAGGTGGATATGTGGGCCTACGGGCAGCTGCATGTAACAGCCTGTTGGACCAGGCATCACAAGGCAAACCGAACTTGGGAAGTAGAACAACACCCAGAACTCACTCCAGATATACTCCAGGGAGTATGGCAAAAAAAAAAAAAGAGGATTGTGTGGAAGTAATTATGGCAAGAAAGTAGGTTGTGTAGGAGGAAGGGAAGGGAATTATCTGGGGAAAGCGCCAAGCAATTACGGCTATATTTATTTATTTATTTATTTATTTATTTATTTATATACAAGAAGGTACATTGGGTTTGTGAGGATACATGGCATGGTATTTACAATCTTGTAAAGCCACTAGTACGCGCAGCGTTTCGGGCAGTTGGAAGAGTATGTGGGGGGGGGGGGGGAGAGCAATAGCAAAAAAAAAAAAAAAAAAAAAAAAAAAAAAAAAAAAAAAAAAAAAAAAAAAAAAAAAAAAAAAAAAAAAAAAAAAAAAAAAAAAAAAAAGAAAACGGATTGTGTGCGAGTAATTATGGAAAGAAAACAGATTGTGTGGGAGTAGTTATGACAAAGTGAATTGTGTGGGTGTGTAGCGTAAAACCATATGACAAAAGCATTGGATGCGATAATGGTGACGACTCGCAGAAATAATGGTGATGGAATGGAAGGGGGGGGGGGGGTATACCCAGAGTGCTTGTGGAGGGAGGGAGGGTGGGATGGGGGGGTTGAGACGAGAATGTGTGGGGAGGGGGGGGGTGGCTGATAGGGCAGGAGAAGGGTGGTAGGGATATAAGGAGGGGCACAAGCTTGGGGGTTTTGGCAGCACTTGGCACCATGGAGGCTGCAGGTGTTCTCAGTGCCAACTCTGCCTCAGCCGGCGACGCCACGGAACGAGAACACCAATCTCGGCCCTCTCACTCGTCGTCGCCAACCATCCTCCTCGGGACCTCCCTCCAAGGGCACCGGCGTTCAAGTTATCAAAGGTGGATGGTGAAGTCCAAGGAATCTTAAGGAAGCAGTCAAACGTGTGCTGAAGAAGGACATTATAGTATACTGTACACATTGGAAAGGCCAGTGGAGTTAACATCGAGGTTCGAGGGGGGAAGTTGAGGCTTGAGAGGGTCGTCGATTAAAAAATATAAAAAAAGGGTGGCGGTGGTGAAGGTGAGGTTGACATCAGGGCTACGATTTGTTTTGGTAAAAAACTATGAAAATAATGAGAGAGAAAGCTATACAAATACATATACGTGCAAGAGATTTTTACTACAAACTGTGGGATAACGCTAGAGTTAATAAAGAGTGGGTAAAACTGAAAAGTATATACCGTGAGTAATATTGTTGCAAACGAATCGAAATAACCAGCTCAAGAATTCCTGTCATTACCTACCCGGTACTACTCAGCGTTGAGGAATTACAACTTGCGTACCCGCATCAGTACATGCTTTTGAGGCTCCTCGTCTACACACGTGACAGATTGAGTCAACTACCCCCCTAGTACCACACTACAGTTCTAGTTGCCAACACCTCATCCCCCCCCCCCCAACCAAACAATCCTTCACGCTGCTCCATACATATCTAGTAGAGTATCTTCCTGTTAATAATATCACTTTCCCACGCCACAAATACCAACTGTAAAACTTACAACACCACAAATACCAGCACCAACACCGCCCCAGGCCACCTGCTGAGTGAGGAGATAGCACCCAGCTTGACCAATGAAGGTGAGTGCGGTACGAGGCCCCTGCACCCCACGGGGTAGGGCCACCCACGCCCCCTGCCACGTGCTGGACCTGTACTCCTCCCCGTCCACCACCACTACCACCGCCACCATCACCACCCCCAGGTAGCTTTGCCTTTCTCTGCTCTTGCTAGTGCTGGCAACTTGCTCCTCTGCTACTGTGACTACTGCCGCTACTCCTGCTGACCCCCCACTGCTGCCAGTCACTTCGCCACAATAAACAAGTAGGAAGGCTTCTATTTCCGTATATCGACGTTAAGTAAAGTAACCATATTCTATCGTTGCACTAATAGTTTTGCATGGCATGGGGCTAAACAAATTATTCTTCCAACTAGTGGTAAGAATTTTGCTATCCGAGATGCGTATCATACATGTATTGGAGAAGCCGGTAAGTGATAACATGCAGAGATGAAGTCACAATAACCTGACTGAAAACAGATAACGTAACGCACCCATATGGAAATTAAAGTGGCGATGTTTCGGCCCGTCTTGAACCCTTATCAAGTCTAAAAAAACATACAGGAGTAAGCCATGTACAAGGCGAGAAAGTATGCGGGGGCCTTATAATGATGACTTCCTTTCCCTGTATCTACTAGTTTCGACTTGGTAACGTCCAAGATGGGCCGAAACGTCGTCAGTTCCATTGCTGACATTTATATCAACGTCCAGACTATAGCCTCCCGGGTACACTACAGCCCTCAGCAACTTGAAATATATAAATAATAAAATTATTTGTAAGGCAGTCTGTAAAAATTAATACTGTTATATATTCCGTTTTGGAATTCTCTCTAATGTTTATTATAGACTTGTGTACAAAGTTACAAGTTGAATTTATGTTCGACCTTTATTGATGGCTACAAAGGTCTAATTTTAATTTCTTTGATTTGTTTTGCTGAGCTCCTTTCCAAAGGTGTGTTAATTTTCCTTACTGTGTGCCAAAAAATTGTGAAAATTCCAATTTCATGTAAAATGTCTGTATATAATATTAATACAAAAATAACCCGAATGGAATAAATAGCCTGTTTTTCTTCTGACGGGGAAGCCTGTTTCGTCTCCCTCACCAAGTTTGTGCTTTGGACGCGTTTAATATTTTTGACATTTTAAATGTAAGTTATTATAAAACGCTTTTTAGGAATGTCAATTAGGCCTACGTACGTCAATCATAATAATTCTATTACAAAACGCCAAAATATTTACGAATGTCAACCATAATACTAGGTCAAATATACTTAATAATTCAGTGTTATATTAATGTCCTGTAGCGCAGCCGCCTCACATCCAAGGGACCCCTGATTGCAATCTCCGGGCAAGGCAGAAACAGTTGGGCACGGCACGTTTCTTTTCACCTGATGCCTATGTTCCTCTAGCAGTAAATAGTTAGGCAATTGTTGTGTGTCGTCGTAGTTTTTAGTTTAGTTCATTTATGGTGCCTCCCACGCCAATCTTGTAAGCGTATACTATTTATTTAAATATATATATAAGAAGGTACATTGGGTTGTGAGAATACATAACAATGGTGTTCATACATTCTTACAAAGCCACTGACACGCATAGCGTTTCTGGGCTCACTATATGAGCATAACCGAGAGATGATTCACATTTCTTTCAGTTTCCCCATCGATCTCGTAACCAACGGTAACCCAGGCAAAAATTAAATGCTTTGATTTAGTCTGAATTTCGGTAGATTTGGAGCAGTGAATAAAATATTCGTCTTCGGGTCAGTGACGCCACTTTTGAGCGAATCACAGGAATTATACAAGATTTTATATTAAAACAAATTAGATCATGCCATTATAAACAGAAAACGTGACATAATGGGTGCTGCATCTTATTTATTTATTTATTTATTTATTTATTTATTTATTTATATATATACAAGAAGGTACATTGGGTTTGTGAGAATACATTGGATAGTACAGTATATACATTCTTGTAAAGCCACTAGTACGCACAGCGTTTCGGGCAGGTCCTTAATCTAGCAGATAATTTTAAGTAGGTAATTTCAATCAGAATTGATAAATGATAAAGATGCATTACAAGAGAAAAATGAGATGAGAGAGATAAGTAGGTATATTAAAGCATATTGTTATATTAAAGCTCTGATTGATTACATTGACAGCTGACACAAACGGTGTCGAAACAAACACAAACGGTGTCGACACACAAACGGTGTCGAAACAATCACAAACGGTGTCGAAACAAACACAAGCTACGTCGAAGCAAAAACAAACGGTGTACCTCATTGTACCTAGCATCTTTATTAATCAAAATATACATTAGGACATTGATCAATATTGAAGTAAATAACAATATAAGTAGAACTGCGGAATTTAAATACAGTATTATAACGATTATGGAACTGTCGAAAGACTTTATATATAAGTTACTTGGATGGAGAAATGACTAATTCCTTGTGTTCAAAGTGACACGTCTGATATAAATAACTTGACAGGATCTTAGTTGCATATTGATGGCAAGACCCATTGCCTTAACCTCAAAATAATATTTTATCTCCCGGTTGTTTTGCCTTTCGATTAATTTTTTTTAGTACAATTATCAGTAAAAACGATGGAAAAGCTGAATAGGAAATATCAAGACAAAGCTGATAGCCAAGTACAATTATGGAGTATTGTATTGTTATTACATTTAAATAATATATCGAATTACTTGACCGGGGATAATTTAGATTTTTTGAGCGAGACACTATTGTATCAAGATTTTAAATAATATTAGATAAGTTTGCATGTCCGTGAGCTAACAAAAAAATTGTTGTACCCCTAATCTAATCTTTCAGTGCAGCGAGTAATTCATTTTTTTAATAAACTAATCCTAAATATTATATTATTATAGGTTGGGCATCTGTGTCATCTTCGTCCATATTTATCTTCATTCTCTTTTTCCCTACTCTTATTCCTCCTCCTCCTCCTCGGTCAGACGGGGTGAGGCGTAGAGTGTGATGATCTCACCCACATAAGAAACAAAGATGCTGATGCAGTACTGTGAAAAACAACTCCCATGATGAGGTCACTACTGATCTTATTTACACCAGCGATTTTTACTGGTGTTCTTAATATTAGCATACTGTTACAGTTTTGCCTTATGAACTATTAGCAGTAAATTTTACTTCAATCACTCAGGGACAAAATTTTCACAAATTACGTTCTAACAATAAAGTTACGCTAGGTCTAAGTGTTATTCTGGATACAGCCTAGCACCCCTGTAACTACTTGCTGTATGGAAAGCTGTCATCGCTTGTACCGAACACAAAGTTTAGCCGAGGGCGTCAGCTTCGAGAACCTTTCAAATTTTGGTGTGGGGTAAAAAGTTATAAACATCGGGAGTGCTATTTGTCAAATATAGATACTGTTCTTAAAAGATTTCCCCATTTTGCACCCGTAAGATAACGTAAGATTTTAAGGGTTGACAGATGTTAATCTTCTTGTTTGAGAAGCTGTTCACTTGAGACAGTTAAGCAAGTCCCGGCTGTGTCACTAATGACAGGATGAACTTCCCGGCGGGTTTTCTTCCTATTGGGGAATGTTGTACATGCTGCTATGGCAGTATGTCTACTCACAGGACGAGTGGCGCTGCCCAATAAACTCGAACCTAGGGGCAAAATTTAATTTAAATTTAATCGGAATGGTTAATTATGAAGGTCACCACAATTACTGACCAATCAGCAAGTATACTTTGGGCATAAACTGTGCTCACCACTGAGGTCAAATTTCCAGCATGGAACCGTAATAGTCACCAAATGATCACCAAATAATCACCAAAATGATATAACTGTCAACACCTCATTGCTTGCAAAAATGTAATTAAAAGCGCACTAAGGAAAAACGTTTTAACTAGAGCAATGTGTATATAATATTGAAATGACGCTGAAACCTAAACCAACATTACATAGGAGTTGCCTCGTATCGGTCAATAGGCTTCACGCAGTTCCTTGATTCTTATGCTCTTAATTTGAAACGTTGGTCATTAACCGCGGGATATATTTAGATGTACAGGTCGTAGATGTATTACTTGGGTGTATTTTGCACAATAGGACAATATGCGTCAAATTATTGCCACTTATCTGAGCTGATATCTGAGTGTTCACCCCATGAAAGTGTAAAACAGGATAACGATGGTAGTTTTGCGCATCCGCAAATACGGGACACAACTAACCTAACTAATACGCTCAATTTCCAGGATGACACCACTTCGCCAGCTATACACAAGTATCCTGAATACAATTTAATCTAATTTACGATACTGTAGTAATCGTCGAACCTCTTTGATAGCTTATAAAGACTATTTCGTTTCCTCAGGATGGCACCCAGACGCCAGCCGCGGTCGCTGTACCAGCAGTGTGTGGCACACCTCGCCCTCTTCCTCGACAGGCTCTGCGGCACACACATCCACTCCCCAGACCACCCGGAGCTCATAGCCGTGGCCTCTTACCTAGACTCCCTCCTCCCGATGCCCCTGCAAGCTGGCATAGGTTAGTTCGAGGCCGCTGTAACCGAGGTTAATTTTACTGTAACCTGAGTATAAAGCTACCAATATCTCTGCAAGCTGCCATAGGTTAGTACGAGGGCGCTGTAACCGCGGCTTGTTTTACTGTAACAGCATCAGACTAGTCTAAGTTAGGGCGGTCTACAAGCCTAGTAGCCTATTTATGTGCTTGAAATCTAATGTAGTAAAATATTTTAGGACATAATCTAGTAAGCCAATGTAACTAATTAACACAATTCCTATTCTAGTTAAATCTGTAAATAGTGTTCATCTCATATATTAGACGTTTCATGCACAGCCAAATTGCTTAATAAGGTACTCCTAGTATTTACTTTTCGCAGGAAATTCACAAAAGCAAATTCAAGCATACCGATACATCTAGAATTCACTTAAAATAATTGGGAGAAAAGAATATATTGTAGGATCAAAATCTAAATCCATCTTCAACAAATATACTAGTGCTTTGTCATAGTAAGTGGTGATAGCCGAGGCGAGTCTCCTGGTGGGAAATATATATATATATATATATATATATATATATATATATATATATATATATATATATATATATATATATATATATATTACTTTCCAAATGGTTAATTATTCAATTAGTACGATTGTTTTAAGTGTGTACAACCCCTCCCCCTACCACTATTGCCTATATCTCTAATGCCACTATAACCTCTCTCTAGGCCACTAGAGAGAAAAGTATGCCACTAACCACAACACTGCCATAACCTCTTATGCCACTATAGTTCTCTATTGATAATATAGCCTGTCTCTTTACTACCTCTATAGCCTGTATCTCTAATGCCACTGCATTTGTAATGCCACTACATCTCTAATGCCACTATATATCTAATGCCACTATCTCTAATGCCACTATATATCTAATATCACTATATATCTAATGCCACTATATATCTAATGTCACTATATTCTTTATCTCTACTGACACTATAGCCTATATCTATTGCCACTATAACCTATCTCTCTAATGCCACTGTAACCTATATCTGTTGCTACTATATCCTATATCTCTATTGCCACCATAGCCTATATCTCTACTGCCACTATAGCCTATATATCTATTGCCACTATAGCCTATATATCTATTGCCACTATAGCCTATATATCTATTGCAACTATAGCATAATTTCTCGATTGCAACTATAGCCTGTCTCTCTAATGCCACTATAGCCATGTACCTAATGCCACAGTAGCCTATCTTTAATGACAATGTAACCTATCTCTACTACCACTATATCTTATATCTCTAATGGCACTATTTCCTATCTCTAATGACAATATAGCCTATGTCACTATACCCCACATCTCTAATGCCACTATTGCCTATATTTAATGACAATACAGCCTATGTCTAATGCCACTATAGCCTATCGAATGCCACTACAGCCTATGTCTTTATCATCACTATATTGCCTATGTCTAATAATAATAATGTAGTCCCTCTATTGCCTATTTCTATTGCTACTAAAGCTAATGCCGATAGCTTATCTCCCTAATGTCACTATTGCCTATCTTCTTGAGATGATTTCGGGGCTTAGTGTCCCCGCGGCCCGGTCCTTGACCAGGCCTCCACCCCCACGAAGCAATAGCCCGTGACAGCCGACTAACTCCCAGGTACCTATTTACTGCTAGGTAACAGGGGCATCAGGGTGAAAGAAACTCTGCCCATTGTTTCTCGCCGGCGCCCGGGATCGAACCCGGGACCATAGGACCCAGCGTTCTGTTCGCTCAGCCGCCGGCTCCCTCTCTCGTCTAGAACATTAACTAGGGATAATATAATCGTGTCATTATATTTCCAAGCAGAAGAGACTTGTGAGCTCGACAGTACAGATATTTTACTGATAGTATAGATAAAAATACAGCTGAGTGCTACCACAACCTCCATCATACAGTGTACATTTATAACAAACAATTCACTCTGACCTTTGGAAAAAAGTTTGTTGGGAGGGGCAGGTTGTAAAATGACACCTCTGGTTTATCCTTTGGTAACACATCACCACATTACTCGGGGCAAATCTTGCTTTGTTTTGTTTTTCAAGCGTTGGACACACACACGTACAGCCAGGCAGGCAGGAGGGGCGTTGTGTTGACTGCGGAAGACTTCTCAGCGATGCCAAACGTCTGCCAAGTTGACGCTGGCTTGGTGTAAACAATAGAGGGAGGAGGGATACTGACCTAGTATGATTAGCACCTAGAATATATTTAATTTGGCGTCTATCTCTTACATATGGTATATATTGAATTATTTAATTAAGTTAAACTTTTTGTTATAATCTAAACTGGTTAGGTCAAATTATATAGTTTATTTACGATGTGATTACATTTTAAGACAGTGGAATAAGCTCATGTGATTATCGGGTTGTGTGACTTGGTTTCCAATTACACGCTTATTAATACATTAATCTTGCTCTTGCTCAGAAAAATTGAGGAAAATACAGATAAAATATATGATATAAGAATAACAGTAAACGTGATTGAGTTACGCATAAAAAAAAATCGAGCACTCACTTTTAAGAAGCAAATAGTCAGCGCAGTCGGTTCACAACCAAAATGTCCGGGTTTGGTTCCCGCGGCGGAATAGAAGGTTTGAGCAGCATTGAATTTCACCAGACAGCCCGCCCTCATAAACAAAGGCCAAATTCCATTCCATGTACCCGCCAAACTCCCTGTTTATGAATGAAAAACGGTTTACACACTACTCACAACTGATGACGTCCGAACACTTCCGGAACAAGTGCTTCACTGACGACTTTAGTTCGAACCACAACGCTGTAAATGCTTCACCCACGTACTACAAATACAAATAATCGCCAACAAAACCTAAACACCTAACCTAACCAGTGACTAAATATGTATACTATGGTAATATAAAATAATATTTATTTATATTTGAGAAAAGTCCTATTTTGAATGAACAGCATGTTAAAATTGATGAATGCGTCTTTGGGGTCGACCGCTGGATGGAATGGACTTAGTCTGAGAACGTGTTGCACCAGATACCTCTGTTCACCTAACAGTAAAATATGTACCTGAGAGATAAGCAACTGTTGTGGGTTGCATCCTAAAGAAGTTAAGTTGTTGGCCTGGGGAGGAGGGGGGCTTCAATAATCTAAATAAACTGTCTTTCCCCAATAATAGAAAACTGCAAACATTGTATTCATTAATAAATGATAAATATACGAAAGTTTTCGAGGTTATCTTTACTTAGACATAATTCAATCACATGCAGTTTTTTTATATCAAATATTTTGTGTCTATACTTGCCCATCTTTCTTTAAATATGTTAAAAATAATGAATTAATAAGTGAGTAATTATAGAATATTTGCTAGACACCAGCTGCACAATCCAACGAGTATATCTCATCCTTGTATAATACATTCCAGTTGTAAACAAACTACAACTTATCATACCAATTGTATTATATTTAAGTTTAAAATACAGTGGTTTAATAATTAATTTTCTTTATTTTCTGCAAGAAAAAGTCACTTGGTCCTCAACATTTGCAAACCTGACTGATAAATCCAGAGCGCTCTTGTGAATATATTTCCTATCCATTTATATGTGAATAAATATTTAACCATGCAGGCTAAACATATTCATTGTAGATTAGCCTGAGGTTGTGCCCAATGTTATATTTTTGAGCAGCACTGCTAATTTCATGTTTTTTGCGTATTTACAGGCGAAGCTGTCCTGGCCATCAGCGAACGGCAGCAGATGACCCCGTCACCGTCTCACGTTAGGCTTCTCCTGCGGCTGAGGGTGCGTCGTCTCTCCACCAGCGGCTCCGTCGTCCAGTCTGGCGTGTTGGAGACCGCTGACGGAGTCCACCTCGAGAATCTGTCCCTCTTCTACGGCGGCTGTGGTGACAGGGCTACCAAGCTCTACAACTTCTTGCACACCGCCACCAACCTTACTTACCTCTGCTGTACTGATTTTTGCAACAATCAAATGATTGACATTGTGGCCAAAACATGTGAACACCTGTACTGCATCGATCTGCGGGGTTGTTACGATGTCAACGACGACGGTGTCTTGAGGTTGTGTGGGCTGCAAGACGGCCTCAGGCATATCATTGAGGTACTCAGTAAGGGAGGGATTCTGCAGCCTACCTCGCGCTGTGCTGGTTCCCTCAAAGAAATAAAGTTCTCCATGACAAAGGTGACCGAGGCTGGTGTGGCTGTCATCCTCCTTGTTTTCACTAATATCGAAATCCTTCGTGTGCCAGATATCAAGATGGAAAAGGTGTTCAACTTCCTACAAACCATCGACCATAAAAACGTACAATGCAACTTGAAAGAATTTCATTCCCGTGAAATCTTGAATGAGTTCCAGTTAACAGTATTGACTAATCTTTGCCCCAACTTGGAATACATCCAGGTCTCTTTCATCGGGAACTCCGAGATGGACCTGTCCCGTCTTCAGCAGCTTGCACGTCTCCAGAAGTTAAAGAGAGCTAAATTTGCAGATGTAAACTGCGACGCGTTGGAGTGGTTCCTGCAGCAGGTAGGCAACAGAATGACTCACCTCTTCCTATACACCTATCACACACGTTTCTCCCAACAAAAATTGAGCATCACTCGCAACCACCTGCAGTGCCTGGCGCAGTTCTGCCCATACCTGGAGAGCCTTTGCCTGGATGGCTACCTCCTGGGAGAAGATATTCCGTACCATCTGGCACCAGAGAACATGCAGTACTTCAAGGCCCTACGTTCCTTGCAGGTTGCTTCCATGAAACTCTCGGAAGACGATCTTAAAGTGTTCTTGAACAAGTGCCAGAACATGAGGATACTGGAACTGGTGCTGCAGAACCCTCACGTTCTTTACGATCGTCTCATCTGCGAGCTCCTTGATGCTGGTGTCTGGCAGAATCTGGTCAAAATTCGGGTCCTTAACTCCCCGCTCACCTGCAAGGTCATGAACAGGCTTGTGACCGAGTGCCCACAGCTACAGGAGGTCGGTTGTCTCTATACTTGGCTAGTGTCTAAGGAGCAAGTCTATGAATTCAAGGAGAACATCAAGCATCAGAATTTTGACATTGAGATATACTGATGGCTTCCCGATCAGTATTCTGTTCAATGCTCAAAAGGTTTGTAATATGGCTCAAGGCTACTCCCATCGCTGAAAGAACCAACTATCCTTGTTCACCTCTGGGCCCCATTTTGTCTTCGGAGTTTTCCTGTAAGAGTTGCAGCAGTTGGCTCTGTTGAATGTCACAGCATATCTGGGCTGTGAGTCTACTGGGCCCGACGCCCACTCACATGATCACAAGATTTGTGTACACAGGAATGTGCGCTTCTTGGCACAAAATGGAAGCCTTAAAATCGGGAGTATACCAAAGTTCCTGAAAGTTGTACGGACTTTACTCTTCGTGGTAGTTTGAAAGCAAATTACTATTTTCTCAATAGAAAACTTACAAAAGTGACCTGATACTGCTTTAATATTTTCCCTCAAGAGAATAAGTAAACAATATATATATATTTTCTATGTATTTCTTCCCATGCGACCTGTTTTGCGACATAGTCTTACATGAAACACAATCCCTCACGTTTTGAACGTTCCCGACGACTACAATGTTGTGGAGAGGACTGCCAGGAGATTTTAATTGGTGAACGTGTGAGCGAATCGAGGCTGCAGATGCCTACCATCTCCCCCCCCCCCCCCCACCCCCCACTTTTTGGCCTGCAGGTGGTGAACACGGAGGAGGGGGGGGGGAGGGGGTTGAGAGGCAGCTGTTCAGTTTGGCGTTCAACGCCTCCATGATCGTTGTGCTTCAAGACAATGGTTAATTTAAGATCCCTCGCCCAGCTTCTTCTTCTTTGTCCCTTTAATAGAAAGGATCCCAATTGGGGTAGTGGGTGGGGAGATAGATAAGATGTTATGTATATAACACAAAATAGAACTCTTAAATAATTTGTATAAATTGGAGAAATTTAGATTTAGGAAAGACCTGGGTAAATACTAGTTGGAAGAAGAATATATATATATGGAACAAATTACCGGGTAAAATAATAGATGTGAGCTCGATGGATTGTTTCAAGCGTAGGTTAGATACATATGAATGAGTTTGGGTTAATATAAATAGAAGCTGCCTCGTATGGGCCAATAGGTTTTCTATCCCAGTTATTCTTATGTTAAGTGTCAAAGAAAGGGAAATCTTACTAATCAGCTAGCAAGCATACTTCAGTACTGAACATTATTCAAGATTCAAGTAAACTCATCATATTTATAATGCACTTAAATGTACACCTTATGGTGGACTGTATATGGCTAATGTTTGGTGTGGTGTTAGGCTTGAGGCCTGTCAACCTCTGGAAGGTAATTAAGGCGGCCACTACAAGAGTTTACTAACCAACCAGTAAGTATACTTTGATCCTGAACAGTGTTCAAGACTACAGGCAACTCTCAGTGTATATGCACCTAAGAACGGGTTATATCACTAACGTATATATCCGTTGGTTAATGTGTGGCAGCTGTTGAATCTAAAACAACAACAACGTGTGACAGCTGTGATGCCATTACCAGTGTCTCCCGAGAACAATAGTAAGAGTATAAGAGGAGAGAATACAGTGAAACTTGAAGTACTTTAATTCAGAGTGTGTTCCATGAACAGCAAACTCAGCACTTGCGTTGTTAGCTTACTTGTATGTAGTTTCTTATAAAGGAAAGAAGAGTTGGAACCCGAAGTTTTGGCTTTCAAGTTAAAAATCAACCAACATGTGTATAACCATAGCATTATATGACATATATAATGATATGAGAACTTCAATTGTGATTATCAACGAACGAGAAAAGTTTATGGTATTTATTTGTATTTCATAAGCACGTAAAGATTGTATAAGTGTTTGAGTATTGTAAATATATGTTGTGCCTTGGTGTGTGTTGAGACACCCAGAAGTGTTCAGCAGTGGCGTTGTACTTAATTTCTCACTCTCCAGTCCTCATATCAAACTGGGTGATATTTATCATGTTTGTCCAGCCATGTGCATTTTTACGTTACAAATGTTCTGATTTTATATGATTTGGAGGCGGTGAAAGGTTTCAGTTGCCTTAGGCTATCGTAGTTTCACTCACAAGCTGCAGATAATGTTATGAATACGCAGTGAATTGTTTCGTGTATATTTATCAGTCTAAATATATTTTTACGCTTTAAATTTTAAATCATAAATTATACCCGCTTGCTCAACGAGCCTTTTGAGGAAATACAAGTTAAGCAAGCCTGATGAAACGTCGAAAGCTTTGAGGAAGCTTTCATACCTGTGGCAGCCATATTTCAGTACCTGTCTCCCTGCTGGTCTAGCTTCACTCAGCCTCGGCTACCAGACCGCAGACCCATATACTATATTCCGTGTATACAAGCAATATATGTCCTGTGAATGAGTCGTTGGCTATCGTGGCCCTTTTCAGATGTGTATATGTTCAACATTGTCTTTCAGAAAGTTGTGAATTGTTTCAGAATAAATAGTTGATTTTTCCTACTGGCTATTTTCTTTGCAGCAAACCTTGAGTTAAATATCCCTGCTATCTGTGCATGATATCATTCAGTTATCCGGGCATAATGCTATCCTACTTAATTTGTATACTACTATCCTACTACCTGGGCATAATAGGAACGTTATCCCTACAGACAAAAATCAGAAAATACAACAGAATTTACTACAAAAAAAAAAAAAAACCGGCCAATCTACTCATGAAAAACTCCCCAGACACCAAACAGAACGCCTTGAAGGAAGCCAACGTCATCTATGCCTTCACATGCCCACTTGGGGACTAAGCCCCAAAGAACTCAGTATATAGGCAAGACAACAACGTCTCTTTCTAGGCGATTAACAGTGCACAAACAACAGGGCTCCATCAGGGAACACATAATCTCTTCTCACAACCAGACCATCACCAGAGAAATCTTAACAAACAACACAGAAATTATCGATAGATACAGCGATAGCAGGAGACTCGACATCAGCGAGGCACTACACATCAAAAAGTCAATACCAGCAATCAACGGCCAATTAACGCATAACTATATTCTACCTACTTCAAGACCCCGAACCAACAAAGAAGCAGCAAGAGAAACTATGGGCCAATAGGCCTTCTGTACTTACTTCCATTCTTACGTTTTCTTACCCAATTTATACCCATTGATTCGTGTTCTGTCACCTCACCCATAACTTTTGTGTCATATCACCTCACCCAAAACAAATAAAAGCATGATGTATGTTATGTGTAAACCAAGTCTTTGAAAATGTAAGAAGCCTTACGAAACGCTTCTAGGCGTCAGACCAAAAATAAAAATGTAAAAATTGAATTTCGGAGAGTTAATTTTTCAATTACCCTCGACAGTGAAGAAAATCGTAAGAAATATTGAGAAGATCCGTGTTAGAATTATTAATCTTACCCTTTCGGTCATATTCAACAACATATGTTTACAAGAAAGACTGCTACCAATATATATATATATACATGTATATATATATATATATATATATATATATATATATATATATATATATATATATATATATATATATATATATAAACATATTGAACAGAAGACACGTGCCTGAGGTGAGATCAGCGTCTCAGTAGCTACAAGACTCGAGGCAGGTGTATAGAGGGGCCACCATTGCCAAGATTACAAAAGGTTATTTATATTTTCCTGTAAATCCTCACGTGAGCAAATCACATTAGAATGTTCATGAATTTATGTTGCTAAGGAAATAGTCAATAACTTTTAGTGGATAGCACATGGTATTGGATATATATATATATATATATATATATATATATATATATATATATATATATATATATATATATATATATATATATATATATATATATATTATTGCAAGCAAATAGTAATAAACTATAAAAAGTTAATACTTAAATTTTAGGATATGAGCAATAAAGCAAACTGCCTTCATTGAATGGAATTAACTGGGAATATTTGTCATTCATCTTGGCAGGCGTCTAGCGGCCCGCGTCAGCTGAGCGTGTCCTTGCCAGCTGTCAGCGTGAGGTGACGGCATAGATTACTGAAGTGTTGTTTGGTCTCTTAACCCAAAATATAGATGGTTAAATTGGCAAAACACTCCTAAATATACGAGTTCAATACACTTCAACTAAACTGACCAGCAAGTACACGGCATACAGCCTTAAGGATGATTGAGCATCTTTGCTAGGCTTTGCTAAATTGCCCTGTTGGGGGTATATATATATGACCATGTAACCATTATAGTGTTATAAAATGCGTGGTATCTGTAACAGCCTTACCTATAGCCAGTTCCAGTAGTTCTTCTCTCTAAGCCCATGAGTTTTTTTGAAAATTTCATTGATGTTCTGGCAATACAGATTTGTTTAAAGTTGATATTTAAACCTTAACTTGTAAGATTAGGAATAATATTGCTCGAAGCTGTCGATTTCGATTTTGCATCCATGAACAAATACTTTCGTTTTTTTCTTTCTCTAGTATGTGCGTAGGAGGAGATGCGGGTAAGGGCAGGGTAGCTACCCTACCCTAAGGGCAGGGTAGAGGTGCATGACAGGTCACGAGCTTGATCATGTGGCCCATAGCCAGCGTCCAGATGGCGGACCTGTAGGAAGTAAACATACGCCTCGGTGGTATGATGGATGCCCCATGGTGGAGGTAGCATGGGATGATGGATGCCCATGGTGGAGGTAGCATGAGGTGATGGATGCCCCATGGTGGAGGTAGCATGAGGTGATGGATGCCCCATGAAGCGAGTGATGCCCATGGAGGACAGGAACGAGGACTCATAATGCTCTATAGCCAACGGTTGTCAGAAATTCCGACACTAGCTTGCTAACACGGAATATAACCAGCAAACACGGTTATACATTAATTGGTGCATTAACATAAATGCGAACAAGCCTGAACGGTCTCCAGGCATATATGCAACTGAAAACTCACACCCCCAGAAGTGACTCGAACCCATACTGCCAGAGACATTAGTTAGTCATGAAAGGATTATAGAGAACGGGAGAGCCGTGATGTCATCGAAATATTCATTTAACGCAACACGTATCCCTTAAACTAACAGTCTAGTAATTAAACTTGATAAAAAAGTGTTCTCTTTGATCTAACTTAATCAAATGTACCATAAAATTAAGGAATTCCCTCCCATTGTCAATAAAAGACAAAATAGAACTATATTTTTTGATACGCCGTGAGGAAGGCTCTGACCACGTATGGCAGACCAAAGTCTGATGTTGGAAGACTGGCTATAACAACTTAATAGCTAAGACTTGGTTACTCCTTAACTAACCCATTTTAGCAGTAATACTAACAAACATTAAATTTTGTAGCTTATTCATATTCATTACCTGTGGATATAAATAATGTATCTGTATGTATATATAGGCTATATGTATATATGTATGTATATAACTATATGTATATAACCATATGTACATAACTATGTTATATAGGCTATGTATATAACCCCCCCAAACTTGTGTACAGGTATAAACAACTAGCAGAATAACTTTTAAATATACAGTCTACTTTGAATTAATCATAAATCAACGTAAGTTCAATAAATCAATAATTTACCAATAATTATGCCATTGTGTTTTTTTCCAGCAGGAATTTATTTATTTATTCAATTTAATATAAATAAATAAATAAATTCCTGCTGGGAAAAAACCCACAATAGCATATTTACATTTGTGCATAATTTAATGGACCTGGAGGGTTGGGGGGGGGAGGCCAGAGGATAGCCTACTAAAAAAAAGGAAGGCACCTCTTCAGTTCAAGTTCAAGTATGTTTATTGAGACAATAAAGAAATACATCTCAAAGGGATAGAGTAGCTTAGGCTATTTCTACCCCCCCTCTACTTCAAGTCCCTCAAGGGGCGTACAAATTCAGTAAGTACAAATAGACAATTAACATTACAAGCCTCTTGCACCTCTGTACTGGAGTTGGCTAGAGACAGCCTAGCGAGGACAAACAAATTCAGAATCTCACGTGAAGTTTATCTTAGATGATGCATTAGCCTGTCGTCTCAAGACATAGCAAGAGGAGCTATATATGTCGCACCCTCAGTGGTTTTATGGGGCCAGTGACGCACTTATGTTGACGAAAGAGGGGGGATTGTTATGACTGAAATGGTCCAGAGAGAGGATAAATTTGACATAAATTTACCATCAACGAATTTATTAGGTGAAGAGATTGATTAAAATCGATCATTTATTAGATATGCGAAATATGTTGCATCTAAATGTGTTACGAAATATGGTATATCAACCAGGCTGTGACTTATACGTTAGGCTGTGACCAGCCGCGTCCAACAGCCTATTTGACGAGACCAGCAACCATGAGGCCTGGTCAGAGACCGGACCACAGGGACGTTGACCCTCGGAATCATCCAAAGATATGAGTAGCGACCTACCTCGATGCTAATATGCCGGAGGTTACTAATCCAATGCCTTACATCTAGACTCTCCACCGCACGAAACGTAGCTGGTCTGAGTGTATTAAACATAGTGTACGAAATGGATACCACGAGAATGTACAATGAGGTGTGCTCCATTCCTTGGTGTATACACACTGTGTTTACCTTTGTCATGGACAATGTTTGGAAACAAAGCATAATTGTTAAGCTATTATTTGTGGCCTTAATAACCCTCACTGGGTTGACTGGCCGTAAGCCCAACAGCAACCAAGCCAAACACAGCTCTACAACGTCTTTCCCAAGAGTAAGCTATCAAGCAAGAGGCGCCACACGTGAGTACCGGATATTTATTCCCTTTCCACCAACAGAACATTTCGGCTTCGTATGATGCCAATTGAGTCATTCAAAATAATAAACAAATTTGAACTAGTTTCTGCAACAAGATGACAACCAAAACATGCTGCATGTAAATGAATACTAATTGCACAAAAGTACTGAATCAATTTCAGGTATACCCACAAAGCTCCATAAAACTGTACAGAGAACGTACAGTTCACGCTAGCAACAACCAACAAAATAACTAACAGATAATAAGTACAGTAACAAAACTTATATTAATAATAATACTCACACAGAAATCACATTAACATGATGTATATATCAAAGAGAAAATCCACTGGGGCTATAGATGGGCGCGAACCTTACGACCTCGGCATTGTCAGTTGCGTACTCTACCACCACACCACTAAAAAAAATCATACAACCAGTCCAAATGTTTACGAATGACCCACAAGTACTAAGGGTGGAAGTATATATCACGTTAATGTGATTTATGTGTGTTTCTGAAGTTGGGATGTAAGGTGTGACGCCCTTCCACCCGAGTGCTTGTGGGTCATACGTAAAAACTTGGACTGGCTTTAGTAGCGGCCTCCAGACTTCCTGTGATTTCAGTAGGAATCCGGTTGTAAGAATTTGTGTTTTAAGTCAGTGGTGGTCTAGTGGTAAAGTACGCGGCTGACACAGCCGGGGTCTTATGTTCGTGCCAACCAATAGTCCCAGTGGT